GCACTGAAAAAAAATGTATAAGTTATAAATTCAACGTAAAAAGGAAAGTCCAAAAATCACATAAGAAAAACTATAGCATAACATTTTTTGTTTAGATTTAAGGATAGAAATCTAAAAAATGTATAACATTCTCACATAATATGTGAAATAAATAAATGTGCAATGTATGGCAAAAAGTATGCAACCAAAAATTGGTTTGGTTTTCATTTCAAGGCAATTATTTTACATTTTTTTCTTAGTGCATAAAAGTGTGTGTCTCTTGGTGTTTTTTGGATGTGCCACCAACTTCAAAATAAGTATGTTTTATGCTGTGCCGCAATAGCAACAACAACCAGTAGCAACAACAACCTGTGACAACAACCAGCAACAACAACGTTTCGTTGTTCACTGCGGAAGCGGAAACTTCAAAGCGCAAACACTTGGCTTTATGAAGCTGTCGAGGGGCTGAAGGGGAAAATCATCCCGAAGTGGCAGGAAAGCAAGGGAAAAGTGGGGGAGAGGAAAATGGCGGTGAGGTAACAACGGCATGCGGCACAAGTGAAGCCCACCTTCAGCCAGTGGCGCATCAAGAAAGAGGGTTATGTTTTTTTTATCTTAAATTAAAAGGCTCTGTTAATATTATAATTGTACTAAAAAGAAGTTGTAAAATAAATATTTGAATTTTTTTTGGGTAATATTTCTTAACTCAAATGTGTTAATTTGATTTAATTTTTTTCCAGATATTATTATAGAATTTTTCAATCACCTAAAGGGACTAGGCCCAACTAAACGGGACTACATAGTTTTATAATTCCATATGAAAAATAATCAAACATTGTGGTATTTCCTGAGCTGTCATAATTAGTTCGAACGGAAAAAAGTTACGCATTTTCCGCCACCCCCTCCCAAATAATTTTCCCGCACGCACCTGTTTTTCGCCCCACAGAACTGGCATCGCGTGTGTGTGTCTCGTGTCTTCTGAATTAATTCACGCATTGCGGGAAATTTTGAGTTTCTCTTTTGGGGCAAAGGAAGCCGCTTGCAAAGTTGTCAACTCGGCTTATTTCATTTGGACAGCCCTTCAGGATTTTCAACTTTGTCGTTATTGTCGCCGTTTTGTTATTAATTCACTGAACACTTGTTGTAGCCGCTGCTGTTGTTTTTTTCTTCTTTCTTTTCTTATTGTTCCCCATGTAATTTATATCCTGCGTCACCAGCTGCGGACCAAACAAAACAAAAGAATACCGGAAAAAAGACGTAAAGGGCCAAGAAAAGGGGGAAGCACAGGACAATAAAATTTTGAGCAATTTTTACTGTCAGTTGCTGCCGTTAAATTTACTTACTGGCAGGTCCTGGCAGCTCCTTCTTCTCTCACACTTAATTATTTACTTGATATTTGGACATCCTTTCGGAGGGATATTTTAAATATCAAAGTATCTTGAAACAGAACGAACTTACTATATAAACAAAATAACATATATTTTTTAGTTTTTTTCGTAACGTTTACAAAAACTAAATAAAAGCAATGCACTTACTGAACTTTTAACTAAAATATTACTAAAAAATATTTAAATATCTTAGTTTCAGGGTGTATGAAATTCGTTTTTAGATAGGATAATTTGAAGCATGACCAAAAAAAAAGGGATTTTGTCCAGAACTTTTTTTACGCTTGTGCATTTTTAAAATGCCTTATGCCATGTAAATACTTTATTCCTTACTTTTGTAGCCTGCACTCCTTTTGCCTTCACTTTTTTTTTTATTTGCACTAAAAATGCGTAAACTTAACTTGATTTCAGACATTTTTTTGCGCTTCTCTTTCTATGTTTTCTTTGGCCAAACAATTCCTTCAGAAGGTTCTGGGCCAAGTGCCTTGCCAAAAAAAAAAGACTGGAAGAGGATGCAAGTTGTAATTTCATTTCTCGCAACTCTTTGAGATTTTCCCGGACAATTTTTTTTCCATGTGTGTTTGGGGGCGTGTTTAATTCAAGTTGGCAAACAACATAGAGATAAAGTTTGTTTGGATTTCACCGAAATTGTTGCTGTTATGGCCCATTTTTGCCATCCACCTCTGGTTACTTTCCTTTTGAGTCTCCGAAGGCCTGTTGTCGTATCCTTTATTGCATTTGTTATCCTGCTTGTTATCCACGTTTTCTTTCGAGGCTTTAAGCGAAATTCCACAATTTATTTTGCCTTTGCCTGCTTACTTGGCTTATTCATGACCCAGAGAAAAACCAATTTAACTTTTTGCTCGTCAGTAAAGCAAACATAATTTGTTAGAATATCAGTTTCAGAAAATAATAAATGTTTGTCTTTTCATTTAATATTGATAATCACACAAAAAAATATCTCTTTTTGCCATGTAAATTGCGTTTAATAAAATTAAATGTAATACCTGTTAAATTTATCTCAATTAATATTTTCTTTAGAAAACTTTTAAATCACTTATGAATTTTTGTTTTTCTAACGTCCAACTTAAAAGAGGTTGAAACTTGTTGGGAACATAAAGTTGTACAAAGGTTAAACAGAATAACTTACTCTATAAGTTTTCATGGTTCAAAATCTTTAAATATTTATAGTGGAAAATGTTGGTTCGAATACTTAAATGTAGTTCCTGACTGTATAATTATTTTGACATACCTTTCTTGAATTTAAGGATATTCTGCACCGATTACCTGTCTTATCTTTATGCAATTTATAATCTAGCGACCCATTTCAGAAAATTATCCACTTAATCTGTCATAGAAAGTTTTCATGAATAGTTCTTCTCTCAATTTTTTGGCAAGTTTGCAAAGTAAACATTTTAATTTCGTACAAGTGCCACGCCCACTAATTGGGTTAAGAGGGCCAAAAAGGAAAAGTTGAAATAAATTATATCCTTTTGGCAGCTCCTCGTGCTTGTTTGCGGAATGTCAACTTTCCGTGCTGGCATATCTTTTTCGATCTTGAAACGAGGCATTCGGCCGCAAAAGAAAAGAGGTTGCCAAAAGCAGCAAAAAGGGCCTAAACTTAGGGGCTATCAAAAATGAATTTCGTTAGACGGCAACACTTATCAGTTAGCCAAATTTTCGCTGTCAAAATGTTGATTGCCACATACCAAAGTCAGTTTATGGTCATTATCCTTGTGTTATCCCAAGTGTGAAGAGGGGGTTTCGCTTTGCTCCTTTGGGGTTTTTCCTTATTTTTTTGTTGTTATCCTTGTCCCTTGGTTATTTTTGTTGTTTTTGGTCACGTCATCGATTAGCAATGTGTTGCCATGGCGTCTTCCACTTTACAGCAGCACAACACAAACACACAGAGGGCACGGGGCGGAAAACCACAGAAACTAACACGACTAAACACCCCCCTGAAAATCCGTAAAAGTCCTGACCGCAAGAGTTGTAAACAAGCAAAATCCGTTCGTTATTTGATTTTTTTTTGTTTTAAGGTTTTTTGTTTTTCGTTTGTTTGGTTGGCAAGGATAATGCGACGATATATCCTGCGTTTTTGCGTTCGAAATCGCTCACACAGTTTTTCTCTGTTTCTCACAAACGTTGCACTTGTGTCGATGGTAATGATGGTAATGGATTTCTATATGTGGGGAAAGTCGGGAACCTTTCCTTGAGGGACTGCGACTGAAACACGACCGTCTGCTCGCACGGCTCGCCGTCAACTGGTTCGCCTCGAGCTTCCTTAGAGCCATCGTTCCCGAAAAGCCGAGTCCGCAGTGGCGAGAAGCCGGGAAATTTGCTTCGTGAATTATGCATTTTCCACCTTTGGTGATAGAATTTCCCTGGCTCTCTTTCGTTAGCTTTTCCCTCGCTCTCTTTATTGTTTTGGGCAATTTGGTGGCATTCAGTTTTCCGATTTTTCCTTTGGTCAGGTGGTGGGTTTCGCATTTTGCCGGTTTGTTTACGTTTTTGTGTGTTGGCCCGCTTTCTTTTAAGCCGGCTTTCTTCGTTGGCCAACATATGACTGATTTTTTAGGGTGGCTTTTCTGCGAAATGGTTTTAATTGATTGAGGAGCTTTCTTGTGGTAAGAGGGTGCGGCACTTACGGTTTTGGTAAGTAAGATTTTCCAGGCACGCTAACAAGGGTTGGTAATCATTTTGATTGTCGGGGGAGACACTAAGTAAACAGGTTACATTGGGTTGTAGGCTTAAATCAATAAATCATATTATTTAATTAAAATTGTTTTTAAAATTAAATATTATTTAATTAAAATTGTTTTTAAATTAAATGTTATTTAATTAAAATTGTTTTTTAAATTAAATAATATATTTTATAATATTTTTAATGATTTGAAATTTTTTTTTTACCTATTTGCTTTGTTATTACTTATTATTCCAATTTGTTTGCCTCTTGTCTGGGTGCTTCCAACATCAAAAAGCTTTTGAGTAAACTTAAACCAGGACCAACCAATAATGATGACAAATATCGCAATGGGCGCACAGTTTTGGCCTGAACTCCCTGGTAGTCCTAGTCTTTTTCCATGACCCTTTACCTTCTGCTGACCACAGAAAGTGTTCACCGCCTGAATGTGCCGGGCAAACCGCTTTTGGTCGCAACTTCGTCTGGTTTCGGCTTATTTACAAGAATTTTTCGTTACGTTTCGTTTCAGGCCTTTCGCTTCAGGCCAAAAACCACAAGCACCAAAGAGACAGAAGGCCACGGAGACGGGGAGAGTGGCACAATAGACAAAGTGTATCAATTATAATACGGGCAGAAGGCGAAGGATCCACAGTGCCAGGGGCACATAAGAAGGGGAGACTCGGGAGCCGGGATCCAGGAACCAGAAAACAGGATCCAGAAGTAGGAGCCGCAACTTAGAGAAATAAGCACCAATAAAGGTATTTTTATTGTGATTGATATTGACGTCAAAAAATATTTTATTTAATATTTGGTGAGAACATAAATTTAAAAATTTTTTAATTAAATTGGTTAGTTGATTCCAATTTATTTCATTTAGGTTTTTTTAATAATAAAATAAAATAATAAATAAAATTATTTTTGTTCTTATTTTCTTTCACTGTACAGGCAACTCATACACAGAGCCATGTTGGCTACGACAAGTACAACCACAATTACCTCGGATCCGGGCATCCTCTGTTTTCATCACTGCAACGTGAAAGTTTTCTGCTTCACTTTGCCGCACACTTGTCCCCATTGCAATGCCCCACTGGACGCGGATGTGGATGCGAATGCGGATGGGGATACGAATGCGGATGCGAATGCGGATCCAAATGCGGAACTAGACAGGGGTGGTCCCCGTCTGCTGCTCCTGCCCTTTCGCTTGCCATATCCTTTTGTGCGGGCCACACAGTATCCATGCGCCATTGTCCTGCGTCCCTCCACCGGCGATTTCCTCAAGTGAGTATCGTTCAGACTGTACCGACCAGTCCAAAAGCATATTTGCTGCAGCTGGTGGCACTCAAATCCACGAACAAATCAAATAAATGTTTTTATTAGTTTCAAACTGCGTTTCAAATTGAAGATTTTGCATTTTTTGAAAATGGACGGGAATTTTTTATATGGCTTATCATTTTTTAAAAGAGAATTTAATTTAAATACAAATAAATATTCTTTTCTTGCATGTCCCATTTTAAAATATAAATATAATATTCTCCAAATAAAGTAATAATGCTTATATTAAGGTTTTTTTTGGCAAAAAAAAAATTGTTTACCACATTTTCTAAACTTTTTAAACAATTGAAGCACTAAAATTCAAAAGGTGTAGATTTTTTCTGAATTTAAAAAATTCAAATCTCATAAACCGAAGCCAAGCAAACGAGGCAGACTATTCCAAGCGGCTTCTCTCCATTTATTTCGGGTAGCCAGAATCATCTCTAATATTCAGACCAAACAAATTTGTGCAAATTTTCCCGAACATTTTTTTTTTCTTTGGGGCTTTGCTAGGCGGAGTATCTTTTATGGCTGGAATACATTTTTGATGCATTGTGTTTCCGCAGCGATTACAGCAACGCCACCGATTTGCATATCGCAGTGACCACATCCGGCGGCGACATCGTCGAGTTCGATCGCTTTGGCCTGCGCCGCCATCGGCGGGATGATAATCCGCCGGAGTGGCGGCAATCGCTGATGGTGGGCGATGTGCCGGAGCCGTGGCACGACTTTTGGGACGAAGTCCTGCAGCAGGTGAGTGCAGAATGCGGTCCTTGAAATTTAGGGTGGCTCGATTTGTTGCAAGAGATAAAAACTGTTTAATAAAAGGTTGACAGTTGCCACAGAAATTAAGATCATTTAATAAAGGTGTCTAAAAGTATGCATCAATATATTTTTAAACCAAAATTCCAATGAATTCCTTCCAAAATACGACATTCTTCCATTGCATTTTAAAATCCTACTGCTTCCTATTGCCATTTATCTGATTTTATATTTTTTGGCCAAGCAAATCGATCCACCCTTATCAAAATCAATGCAAATCCCTAAGCTTCCATCGCTCCTTTCGAACATTTGCATTAATAGATCTGCGCCCAGTCGGTGCGGTGGTCCATCGCCAGTTATGCAGAGGAGAGCCACAACTGCTACGCCTTCGTCCTGGCCTTCCTGCAGGCCCTGGGCCACGCCCACCTGAGCGAGGCCGCCCGCAGCAAGACCGCCTTCTGTGAACAGTGCATTGTTCCAAGGACGACGACGGCGGGAAAGTACATCTCGTTGTATCGCAAAATTCGACGGAGTGGAATCTACGTCCATCGCCAGCAGCCCAAAAATCGCAGTAAGCCAACAGCATCCGCAACTCCTTCAAGTTCCTATTCCTCGAATGTATGCGATGGTGTTGGCAGCAGCAGCCAAAAGGTCTCAAAAAAAGGATATTCAAGCAGCATTATTGCCGGTATTGCCTCCCGCCCACGGCCCACTCTGTGCACCATCGAAGAGTAATTAAATCGATGTGGGGAACTCTTGTATTAACTGTGTTTATCATATTGTAACATTTTAAGTCCTTATAGTGAAATTTAAAATAATTGATCTTAAATAAAACTGTATGTATATTTCATTGTATGTATTTTAAATTTAAGCAAAAATTATCTATTGGTTACAAATTTACAGGTAAGTATTTCAATTACGGAGAGGTGTAATCCTTCTGTAAAAATGTTAAAGGATTTTTCAAAATTGTTTTGTTTCTTTGGCTGCATATATTTGGTTTTCAATATTCGTATGTATATATCCATGGGAAGGTATAAATATTTAAGGCTACTTTGTAAAGCTTTCATCCGTTATACCATTTGGTATTTCTTTTAAGAAATGTTAGTAATTAAAAAATTTTTGAGGGATATTCAAGAAATTATTTAGAGTACTTCCCTGATAACAAAATATAAATTCACTAATGCGGGTATAAAAATTCCTGTATATCTTTGGAATGACTGTAGGTTATAAATAAAACCGTTTTTATCGCCTCGGGGGAACTACGTTCTCCCTAAACAAATTGTTGTAATTGCCAGGGGGATTATAGTTGCACACTATAAAGATGGTATTGCCCCTGTGGAAAATATTTAAATAGAATCACGTAATTATTTTCAATAAAAAGGTCTTACCTTTTTGCAAAACCGACGCCCAACTCAGTGGAACTCTTCCAAACCACCTGAGTGAAATGCCCCGTGCTGCCTTGAAAGGAGGGGTAATTCCAATTGTATTGTCGTACCTCTTCGTACCAGGATCTGACGGCATCCGATCCTTCTAGATTTCCCCCGGAGGCCATGTAGATATTCTCTCCATATCCACTGTTCTGGCGATGCTCCATGCGATTGCTCGACAGCAAATACTGATTAAAGGGAATCATGTCTGAATAGAGAGTTTTACGTAGCTACAGATCCTAGATGATCTTACCTTGGCCCATTCGGTGGCCAACCGATTCAGTTTGGGGCTCAATATCAAGGGCGAAACTCCATGCTTGGCCCGATATGAATTATGGGCATTAAGAACTTCTTGCTCGAACTAAGAAACAATAAAACCCACGGTTAAAACTAAAAACTACTATTATAAGTATTTTGGTAAACATTAATTTGTGGTCACAGGCACTACACATTGTTAAAACTTTTTCTGTATTATTATTTTTTAAAAACAAATAAAGGATTCTTAAATGATATTTTCATTAGTTTTCCTTCTTACTTGTTGAACACTCATTTCGCAGTTTTTAAATGCACTTTTCCACACTTGACTTGAATCCACTTAAGTCGAACTACTAATGCTTTTGTTAATTTTAATTTAAATATTTATGCACTGGCGCTGGCACTTGTCGGTGGCAACTGAAGTCGTTTGGGGCTCTGCGAGGGTTTTTATGCAACCTGCCCAGATTTTCTTATCAGTTGATTTGCCGCCCCAACAACTGTATGGAGTTTGGTGAACAGTCGCAGTTGTGGGGTTCCGACAAAGGCTGACTAATCTTTGGGCATGACGTGCCAGCAATAGCGGTCTGAAACAGTTTTAAATGCCGCGAATTATGACGCGAATCAATGTAAATATTGAAAGGAAGCTTAAGAGTTGTTGTAGAGACTTCAGCAAAAAACAATTAATTTGTATTATTGGTAATTTACTATGAAAAGTTATTACAAAAAATTGGGAAAGGTAATTATTGTTATATTTCTTATACTACTTTTTCTCCAAAGAATTATGATATTATTATAAGGTATAAAAAAAGTTTTCATTTCCTGTTAAAATCATTAAAAAGTGGCGTGCAATAGCAGTCACTTATTTTAATACCCAAATACCATCAACTTTGATTTTTATGAACTCTGCGCACCTTTCCATTATGGTTACCCTTTATAATCAGATATTTTAAATAGATTTTAAATGAAGTTTTCTCGACGGCTTATTGCAAACTCATTCAGGTTCCCGGAGACGGAGATTCCTGCCCCATCCAGATGCCATATCCCTGGCTCGGCTTTTGTGGCTGCCACTCGCGCCTGCCTCATTAATGAACGCAATATCCCAGACAGGAGGAAGTGACAGGAAACGGAAATGGGGACGGGGATGACGACGAGTACGAGGGCATGAACGGGACCCTTGGTTATGCAAAACTGTCATGAATCGGGAAAATGTAATTACATTCTCGTTGATGACGTTGATGAGCAGGCACGGCGTTAGCCTCAGTCTCAGCCTCAGAGTCGACATTTCATCTTGGATAGAGCGCAATACGTGCATATAAATTGTATAATGTCGCCTCGGCCAACTTTGGCGACACGTAATTTCGAAGCAAATAAGTTTTCCCCGTCCACGGGCCAAAGTTTTGCTATAAGTATAACTGCCACCTGCCGCCACCCACTTCCTAATGCCGTTGTTGTTTACTCGCCGGGGAGCTGGATCGAGTGTCATTATTGAATTCAACAGTTGAGGTGGCTCCTGGAGGAAATGACACGGGCTGACTTGACACCGTCATCGAGTCAACTACTCTAAATGATAATGAACGGGTTAAAACTTTGCAATTGATACACAGAAATAAATCGAACTTATTATTATATTACTTACTTTTTACTGTTTTTCAAAAAAGTATTTAAAATTAAGTAATACAAACTGTTAAAAATATTTAAACTGAAAAAACTATCAGAAAATAAAAGGTTTTATTTAAATATTGTAATCATGATTTTAAAAAATAATAAAAATGAAAATAAAGTGTTTTTTTTTTTTAATAAATATATTCTTTGCCAAACAGAATGGGTTAACGAAAGAAGGTTGATAGAAAGAAATAAATATAATTTATTTATCCTCTAATGGAGAAGCTATTTAACCTGTGTTTTTTACATAAATACGCCACAAAAATATTTTAAACTAAAAAGTACAAAACAAAATGTGTAAAATATGTTAATCAAAAATTTTAAAATTAATAAAAGTTAAAATAAATATATTTTTTTTTTGCCAATTAATATTCAAGACACACCTACAATTAATCTTGTTTTTTGATTTCCAGTCATGAAAATGTGCATTTGTCGCCTTACAGACAGTTCTCTTGCCATTCATTAGTTTGAGTGGAATCAAGCAACGGAAACGTTAATACAAACATTTTATTTGATGCAATCGGACACGTTCTTGAACCGTTTTGTTGACAGACCCCGAGAGATAATGACTCCAATTGAAAGACAAAGCTATATCCACATTGAGTCATAATGGCACATAAAACTAGGGCAGTGTCGCTTTGCGAAATTCGCTACATTACTCTCAAGGCATTATGGCCAAGATCGCAGTGGGTGTGACTGGGTGGTAATTCACTCTGTACTTTTTTACACCACAATTCCCATGAGTCAAATAAAATTTAAAAATCAACGATAGGAATTTTTACCGTCAAGGTATTATTTCTGTGATTGCCGCTGTGGGTGTGACTGCTTTTACCTAATAGAATAGAAATTCACATGAGTCAAGCCCCTGCAGAATCGATTCTATAAACTGGCGCCATGCTAGGGCTCAGTTTTGTCTGGGTTATGGTTGTTATCTAATTAATGTGTAAAAATAGACGGTCAGCATAAGTGCGTAACACAAAACGTGCAAAAGACGGGGGAAAAATCAAATCGGAAGCGAAAGACCTTGAGCGGCATTTAAAACCATTCCTTCCCTACCGCATTTTCTATGCTTTCTCTGCATTTCCTCGGCATTTCGCTTGGCATTTTCCAATTTGGCGAACTTTGTACCCGAGAGTTTGACCAAGTGCCGAGCTGCAAGCTGGCTAGCTGGCAAAACTGGCAAACAGTTTAGACCCGGCGTCATGGCGATGATGTAGATGCCTTTCTATGGCTGCACCGAACCAATCTACTTCTTATTTTCCGAACCGAACTGAACACCATCCCATCCCCTGGCCGTTTTTCTTGCTCCATTTGACACGTTTTCAACGCCGTGGAAATGGGGGGAAATGTTGGAAAATGGGGTAAAAGCATTGAAAATCTCAACTAATGTCAAATGCTTTGTTGTCGAAAATCCAGCTGGGGCGAAAAAGGAACAAAGCTGCGGAAAGCTGAAGGTTCCTCCGTTGACACTTTTAATTTAGTACTGGGGTATTTATCAATCGGATATATTAATAACAACCAATGCATCAGTGGCCAAAGATAAATGCATTTTCTTTGTGATCCCTGCTGCAAATGCTTCAGATGCCCCGAATTTCGGGGAATCCCGGGAGAATCGAAGGGGGGATTATAAAATATGCAAACACAGTGCTCGCGATAAGCTTCAATACAAAGCCCTGTCAAGTTCCCACTCAATGTCGAGAGTGCCGTGCAAATATTTACAAACTGTCGACGATTTGCTTTGATTTTGATAAGCGCAACAACAAAGTGTATCGTAAACGAGCAAAGATAACAACTGATTTCATTCACAAATACGAATAGTGGATGGGGAAAGTGGTGGCGGCAATTATACAAATCGTTAGTCACTTAACTTTATGGTGAGAGATTAACCTTCGATAATACAAACATTTAATTTGTTGATTAAAACGTTCTAAAACCTGATTGTGATAAAAAGTCCTTGGCTGACCTTAACATTTAAATATATTTCCGTCACATATCTTATCATTCTGGTTTATCAGCTTTGCAAAACATTTATTTAGTCTGTCAAGAACATATCACTATTGCTTGTCATTGTTTTTAAAGCGCTTTTCTTTTTGACGCACAATTCTGATGGATTAATTCTACATAAATAGACAATTAGGGGACTTTTTACAAAGTAGAGATATTATTTAGTTTAATTTACATTTACAAAAAAAATTGATTCTAATTTTATTATTGAAATACTTATTTTATTTTAACATTTTATTTATTTTCAATTTTTTCGGTCAGACAAAAAAAATGTATTCTAGTTAAATTTAATAGGATAAAGAATTTTTATAAAACTATTGTAAGGATTGATATATATTTGTGTGCAATAATATATTAACTTAAAACAACTTATTTTTTTTTACATTTTGGTTAAAAATAAATAAAAATGTTTGCTTAATTTAATGGGTACAAAAATTTTGTATAATAATATTTTTTCAAGGCAATGTAAAACATCTATCAATATGCCTTCAAAAGGCAGGACATCGGGAGTGAAAATTCAGTCACACTTGAGTTTCCCGAGCAGTTGACTTTGCACTCCCTATCTCCCTTTACTTAAATCGTGCTCTCTTATTCAACGCCGCGTCCACAGGAGGCGCATAAAAAATGAATTCACACAAATTTCTTGTGTCAACTTGAAGTTTTTAGCGAATTAGCAATTTGTGCAGCGGTCGCAGTGGAAATTTTATACCAAATTGCAAATTCGTGTTGACTTTGTTTCAGTAAATTTTCCACCTCGTTTCGTTTTCGTTTTTTTTTTTGTGCTGAAGTAGGGCTTTTCGTTATATTCCTCGTCCTGCTTTTTTGGCCACTTCTTTTTTCTTCGTGTTGACTTAATGGAAATGTAAATAAAAAGTGAAGTTGATGCGGATAAAGCCCGTTCTGCACTTGACTGATAAGTTTTTGTACGTACTTTAAATCCTTATATATAGTTGTGGTTGGAGAAGAAATTCATGCTCGATTGCGATTCCGGGATTAATTGTCAACTCATCTGTCTTCATTTGTCGGTTGTGTGAAAATCTGCAGGACTGTCATGCATATTAAGTGGAAAATTTATAAAAAGACATAACTGCAAATGATGTGCGTCATTTAATTGTCACACGAATGCTGGCGATGACAGCTGTTTGCGTTTTGTGATTTCGTTTTGATGACTTAACTGCTCAATATCACGCATAAGCAGTGTTGCCATGGAGTATATAAGTTCTACCTATCCAATATCCTGAATTTTCATTAGATTTCCTTGAAGAAAATGTTCCTTACATGCTTGAAAGGGCTGCATATAACCCATCCAATATTGCACAGATATTATGTGTACATTGGCTGTATCATGGGCCACAAATTGCAGCTGCTGCTATTTAATGGCCCAACTTTCGATTCCGCAACCCACAGGCGGATGCATGAGTCCGAGTCCTTGGGAAAATGTCTAGATGGAGTGCTGCTGCTCAAGCATGTTGCAATAAAACTAAATCGAATTCAAACACAAAGTTCATTTACAGTTCATCAACTCGGGCTAGCTCCATTTCGAGAGGGGGAAAAGGCAAACAAAATGTGGCTCCCGGAAACTTCTAAACTTGGGCTTTTATGCTAAATTTAGTGGGCTTGGGCCCCATGGATACTTGACTCATAGGCGTTTATGTGTTAAATTGATTCGTCAATTTCAGGTTCAGGTGGTCATATATTTCGAAATTGATTATTTTGGCTTATGCAAAGCATTCGCCATTAGCTGATAATGGCTCATTGATAAACATTTATTGTGGGTTAACCTGCATACGCTCTACCGAAACTGAAAGCTTTTGTGGCTTAGCATTTTCGGAGCCAATTTTCCGGCTATCGGGGTGACACAGAAAAATCAACCGAAAATACCACGGGAAATCGCCATTGATTTCGATTAATTTTCAATGGCTTTTTTGGCCGCCGAAATATTGCTAATTGCGTGTGTAAAGCGTATTTATTTTTTGTGGCTATCTGGTCATCCCCGATGTTATGCATTAAATAAATTTGCTGATAATTTGATTTTCCACAAAAACGGTTTGCCACGTGTTTAGCATACTTTTGTGGGTTGAATGGATAAATGGTTAAATGGAAAATTTGCAGCTGCTGAAAGTGCACAATTGGTAAATGCCTTTTTGGCCATCAGGCGATTTATTCGACTTCAGTCTAAAGGTCACTCCGTTTGACTTACTCGCGCTCGACTGGCGACCGAAAATCGTTTTAAGTGAACACTGGAAATACGAAGGAATTTCTGCGAGAAGAAGCGGTGAAGCGTAAAATGCCGCTCAAGCTGAGTAACTGGATTTGCTGACTGCCGGGAAAATGCTAAGTTACAGCCGGAAAGTGGGAAAACCAATTGGAAAATACTTGCACACACTTAAAGCAATTCAACAATGGCACTGGGATTTATTGAAATGATAACTTATATACTAACTACTGCTTTTATTGAAATTTTATTAATAAAGTGCCCATCATTATAATTATTTAAATATTAAAAAAATATTATTGGAAGGGAGAATACATTTTCTTCGAGTTTTACCTGACAAAAAAAGTACTAAAAAAATAGTTTACCTTCTTATTATAAGGTATCTTGTTAGTTAAAGTTTTTAAAAATATTCAAATTTATATTAAATATATAAACCACTTTAACACTTGTACTGTAACTTATAAAAAATTCTTAAGTGAGAGAATTGAGTGAGAGAGTGAGAGAATAAGTAAAAATAAGTAAAATAAATAAATATAAAAAAAATTTATTTTTCTATTAAAAACAGAAATACTGATTTCATTTTAATTATTTTTGTAATAAATATTCTTCATCACTCAAAATGAATGCGTAGTTAACACACTAGAACATTCCTAGCGGTTCTGTTGTAATTTGGGTGCTAATTTCCTGCTGCCGAATTCGCTTGACATTTCCAGCAGCGCTAAAGATTTGCATATCTTTTGAGCCGCAGCATGTGGAATGCAAGTTGGGGATTTGCCGAAATCCCTCTGCCTGTCTATCGCTTCGCAAGCCTTTTCAACTGTTGCCGGAGCTCCGTGATGTATCCACTTCACATCGTCTATACGTTTTGACAGCTGCTCCTCGAGTGGCTGCTTCTGCGGTTGCCAAGTTTCGCATTTGACTTGAGCAGACATTTGGCCTGGCAAATTACCAAAACCGGAGACGAAGACAGTTGCCAGTGGCGGTGGTGGGGAGGAAAACCCCTGGTGCCTTGTGGGTAGATAAGGAATTTTCATCACTTAATTGACATGTCGGGGAATTGCGGATAAGTCGGGCTTGGATAGTGATTAGTTGGAGTTTAACCAAAGAATATCCATTAGACATCAAAGATGAAATCAAAGCCAACTCCGTAGTCAATTGTCAGTGGGTCTTATGCACACTTGGCATTACCAGATATGGACAATCGTCCAATGTACTAATTCAGCTAATAAGTAGGTACATAGTACGCAGTAGAGGAAATCCCTCAACACTTTAACCTACATCCACTTTTCCACCCTGCCAGAACCTCAATTGTTTTGTGTGCATCTGCCAATTAGACTCAGCCTGACGAATTTTTGGGCACCAGCACCAGAAAAGTGAGACCCATTTAGCCATTGACGCAAAATGTCACTTGTCGTAGTCAGGCAGACTTTTCATACCCATCCTCATCTTCATCCTCATCCTACAGCCTTTTTTCAGCAGTGCGTCATAAGCGGGTTATGGAATTTTCATTTCAAGTCAAGAAGACGACCTGAAAATGGCCAGAGATTGTGGGAAATGGCAGTGGGCTTCCCAATGGACAGATGCCAATTTTTGGCTAAGAATACTGCAATTTTGGTGAAGTAGAATGAAAGTTGAAAAGTCATTTTCTAGGCTTTTTGGATTAGGTACTTTGGTAGCCAATCGAATTCGTTAGCATGGCAGGCTAGGAGAAAAATGTAGAAAAGGTTTTAAAATTATACATGGTAACTTTTGGGGAATTTCTTTCTACAGGGTATCCCGTTTTCATCTGTAAACATCTTTCGATTTTCTTAGTTGACCTTGATTGAGCTAGCCTCACATCCTCGTCCTCGTCGCAAGTCAATTTAATTGGAAGCGGGCACAAACTGTTTGCTGACGCTACCCTTTTGACATTTAATTAATATGCAAATGATGCCTTGGCTCGGCATTTCAATCCCGAACTCATGCGCTCAGCATCTGGCACTTTTAGGTGCTCTGTGCTCCACATGCGATGGCCACTTCTTTCTCGCTTGAGGAAGAGGATGAATATCCTCTCCAGATTCGCTGGCAGCGTAAACAAACCGAGGAGGAATTAGAAAGGCAGCTTAGTCATTCCGCCGGCGTCGCAGATTTCGTACAGAGCTTCAATTGCCGGATGAGGAAGGAGGCAAGGAAGGAGGATGGGCTGCTATCCTTGATATCCTTCGGAGGGTGTGGTGTCCCACAGGAATGCCCGCTCGGAATTTACGAGCCGCTCGAGATTAGTTTCCCCTGGCTGTTTGCTTTAATTGCGCCCATAGAGTCTATGGGACAAAAGGGGGCGTGGTCGCCGAGTCAGCAAACAGGCATCCTCCATATCCTCCATTTTCCGCATTCCACATACGCCGCGTGTGCCGCAGGAGATGCCCCAAGATTGGTGTCGCTGCATTGTAAATATTGCATTGGGCAAGCTCAAATAAACACACTTATCGCATCGAATGGGGAGTCGTAAATATATATGTATCTGCGATGCATAAATTGTTGACTCCCCAATCGCTTGTGTGTGTGTGTGTTTGTGTCCCACCATTTTATATATCTTATTTATTTCAATTTTTTGCACATTCGTTGTCGCGACGTGTGTCGAATGTGCGGCACATTTTATTCGAATGTTTTCACTTGGTTGTGCTCTCTTATTTTTTACCATCCTTCGGGATGCAATTTAAAATATTGCCCACTCGCAGCTACACTTATATTTTTCCGGCTTTTTCATTTTGTCCTCTTTTTTTTGCCGTGGCCATTGACGTGGCCGTTGAGTTGAGTGATTGCAATAAATTATTACCGAAAGTTTATCACGTCCAGTGGAGCAGGGCTTGCCGCATATTGTCGTTATTGTTTCTTAAAGGAGTGAGGAAAATGAATTGAAACTTAAAGTGGGGAAAAAATATTTTCTGGTTCGTCAAAATATCAAAACAAGAGAGAACGCTGTAGTCGAATATAAAGTAAAGCAAGTGCGAGGGAGATTAGCATGCATGATTGAAAAAATTATTCTACATTTCAATAGGTATGTATAAGCACAAGAAAACTGCATTCAAAATGAACGGGGATAAATACTTGCTAATAAATATATTTAGTTTTATTTGAAAAGTCCATTGAATACAATTATAAATTATTTACTTCCGGGCCGACTGAAAGAAGCGCTCCTTCTGCAAGTTGATCCTTTCCCGGCGCAAAACCTTAACCTCCTCTTTGGCCACAAGGGAAAGGACACTGTTCGAGAGACAGTCGTCCTTGCAGCCGAAAAACTTTTGCACATCGTTGATCTCGAAACCCTTTAGTAACCAGGCCGACTCCATGACCAGTAGAAACGCTGTCACCGCCGATTGATTGATTTTTTCCACCATCCAGGCATGCTCGTCGCTCACATAATTACGCAAATTCCAGCAGATAGAGTCCACCAAGAATTGCAGAGCTTGAAAGACAGGAAACCAAATGGCCACCAGAAGCACCTGGATCGCCAGACAAAGGCCCGCCACCTCGAGTATTGCTCCCAATTGTATTAATCTTGAACTCCTTCTGCTCTCCGACTTCAATTTGTGCAGGAACATTATGGCGATTATCAAGAAAACAGTCGATTCCGTACTGGCCTCCACGGGATTGTAGAAGAGGCCTATGCAATGGCAAAATATCGAAATGAGCAGGGCAATCATAAAAGAGGCGTCCATTTTATTTCGTTGAAAAAATATTCAATTTACATAAAAAACAAGAATTTTCGGAAAACTTTTTTCTGGATTACTGCAAGTTGGTTAAGAATTCTATATGTGAGGTCTAAAGCATGGCTTACTAAGTTATTAAATTTAGAAATAAATTTGTAAGAAGTTGCATTCAGATGTACATATTTGAATGGCTTTAGTTAAAAATAAAATTTAAAAAAATTTATCTTTTATCGCTTTTTAAATATGGCAGCAAATTCAGCAGCAAAAATCAAAAAATGTAATTGAATAAAGAATATAGTTTTAAGCATAGTAGGCGGCGATTTTCTAGACCCTTAGTCATATAAAGGAAATCATCATTCTGAATTTTATTTTCATAGCGAGTGAATGCTTTGAGGAGCTCCGGAATAAAAAAATTATTTTATTTCATCGAAACTTGGAAGTAAGCAGCAAAATGTCAACTCGTCCAATTTTGCTTAGGGACCGGCCGATTATGAAGAGAGTAAGTTGTTCAAGTGTAGAAATTAAGGAATATTCATAAGAAATACAATTCCACAGAGGATGACCATAGGTGGTCCTCGCCCATTGCCTCTTCACGCGGTCGAGCAAATCAAGCAGCGCAATTTTTTCGAAAACCTCGGTAATACCGATGGGATGGTGACCAGACGTCCCCCCGTCAATGATGATATGATGTATCGCGAGTTAGGCAATCAGCGTGGTTGGAATGGATTTAATTCCGGAGGGCAATTCAATTTGAATACCAGTGCTCCACCGCCGCCGGAGAATCTCATTTGGGAAAACCCCCAAAGTTTCCAACGCGAACGCTCGCCGCCAGTTCGCCGTGCTCTTTTCGAAGTTCCCGATGAGGAACCCGTCCAAAATATTCAGGAACCCTTTTATCGCAGGACTCATGAACCGCCTTCGAATGCATATGGTTTTCCAGAAGGAACGTCTGTATTTAATAATCGCAATGAAGATTTCGAACGTCGAGAATTTTCGAATGCAAATTTTGAAAATAATGGACAGCATCTAAATCAACGTGGTGATGAGGATTTTGAGCGCCGAGAATTTTGCAATGGTAACTTTGGAAACAATGGACAGCCTGAACATAATCGCAATGATGATTTCGAACGCCGTGAGTTTTTCAATAAAAACTTTGGAAATAATGGACAGTCGGTTAATCAACCTGAACCAACATCCGGAGGTACTGAGCCGTCGGATAAGATTTTTATGATTGCTGGCTTCAAGTTGCCGTTCTTAACCAACGAAATGGCGAAGTCGGCCTTTGTGGAGTCTCGATCGTACGCGGTGCGCTATTTCCAGAAGACGCCCAACTATATAATACGCAAGAAAAAAACCAAGGATGCGCCCATCATTCAGCACATTTACAACGAGATAGAGGATGTCCATTACGATGATTATAATGACCAAAAGTCTACCGCTCTTTCAATCAACCGTCATCGCGAAAGTCTCTGCAAGGAGTGGACCAAGATCTATCGGGGCAGGAACTATCGTTCTTGGGATGGATGGTGGAAGGACTTCCACAACATTGATGTGGACATCTTTGAGCAGTTGGCGAAATTCGAATGCTTCAATGTGAAGTACAACTTCATGTCGCCCGGTGGAGTCCATAATGCCGACCAGCTGATCAATAGGGCCAACATCGCTCTGACCAAGAATCGCAACAATTATGTGGGCAACTTGAAGGTCGTCCACAGCCTGATGGACCACACTGTCCTGGGAAACTTGGCCATGGAGGAGACCGCTCGGCTGCAGGACATCATTCGCTCGGTGCCCAATCACCTGTGGGTCTACAAGTTGCGCTGCATGATCTACGTGTGGTACAACTACGGCCAGGTCATGAAGTCGAAGGACACCCAGGATAAGAAGTACCAAATTGTGCTCAAGGAGTGGAGGAGCCCCGTCATCCACTGGCTGGCCAAGCAGGCCTTTTTCGAGCTGAAGAGCATCAGCAAATTGGAGTATCCCCAGTTCCGTGAGGTGTACGGCGCAGCCAGACAGAAAGCCAAGAAATAGGCGCTTTTATAATGGTTAACTGCGAAATAAAAATATTAAACAATTTATAAAACTTTTTGATTTTATTTAATTACAAAAAAATATCAAGCCAATTGAAAGCACTTTCTGTAATCCCAATAACTATATTTATTCTAAAAAAAAAATAAAACAGAACCAGGAAAAAACCTGCTTATGTCGAGTGAATCCATATTCCGAGACCCGTCGCAATTTATTCAGCTCCACTTGCATAAAGTTGTTTAATTTGTTATCCCCAAAGTGCACCTGAGTCTCAGGGCTAAGAGGCAAAACCAAAAAAAAGAAAAATATATATAAAAACAGAAGAAAAAGCTGCTGCTGGCAAAGGCAAATGAATAAACCAACAGCAACGGAAAATGACGATACAAACCAAAGAGAAGGCTACAAAAAAATGCAAAGCGCTACTGCATATTAATCCGACAGAGTATTTCACTCAACCTCAAACACACACAGCACAGCACATACAGGGTGTCCTGGCTACAAAGGAACCAACAGAAACACTAAACAAAATGTAATAAAATATTAAAAACACTTATTGTTCATAAAAAAAATTTAATGATTTAAAAAAAAATTTAAATACATTTCTTTTTTGTTATTTTAAGAAATAACACATCATGAGAAAATGTCAGGCTTAACATGTTCTACCCATATTTTTTCGAGTGTAAGCAAGGCCATCAGGACACATTGGGAAAGGACACGCTGTCTGCGAGATGGGCGACCGCGAAAGACATTTATTGTATCCTTAGCGCGGCTGACAGACGCGTGCTGAGACGATGATGAATTTGCTGCCGCCGATGGCTCCAGCCTCCTGGCTCCACCTCCTGCCGCCACCCACTGGGACGCCACCTCCCACTCCTCCTCCTCCTCCAGAATCGTTGGAGGCCCAAAGTGAAAAACTCGGCTGGCAGCAGCCAGCGAAGCGGCAGAAATGACGACAGACAGCCTTTGGGACAGACGGCGGGCAAGTGACGAAAAAAATGCAAATAAAATGCCGGCTTATTGAGTCAGTGGTGCTGGTGGCGCGGAGAAAGGAGAAAGTCGGTGGCGCACAAGACACTTTTTAGTTGATTGAAAAAGGTGATGTCAAGGTTTTTCTTCCTTTTTTTTCATTTTCCTATTTTATTCATCGTTGACCTTTTTTCGTTAAATATGATGAAAGTTTTGCACTTTGATAAGAAAATGTGGTGGGTCTGCTGGGCATTAAAGTGGCGATGGAAGAACTAAGCGGAAAGTGGTTCGTAATCGACAGAAATGGATAATACATAATTGAATAAGAGAAAAAAAAAACAAATAATATAGAAAATAAACAAGAGAGAACGCTATAGTCGGGTTGGTGTCCCGACTATCTAATACCCGTCACTCAGCTAAAGGGAGTGCGAACGCTGTGTCGGGTTGGTGTCCCGACTAATAATCGTAACTCAGCTAAAGGGAGTGCGAGGGAGATAGATATATGTTGACAATTTATAAAGCGTATAACTTTTTAATGAATGGTCCGATTTGAAAAATGTCTTCTACATTTCGATAGGTATAAATATACACAACAAAATTGCATTTATACTTCTCGGAAATCTTTAAAGATGTGGGCGGAGGACCCATTTTAAAATCGTTAGTGGGCGATTGTGGGCGTTAGAGGGGGCGTGGCGCTCGGCTAAAATAAACTTGCGCTGCGTAGGAAGCCAAAGAATATGTGTGGGAAATCTCAACCTTCTAGCTTTTGTAGTTTCTGAGATCTCAGCGTTCATACAGACGGACAGACAGACAGACGGACAGACGGACAGACGGACAGACGGACAGACGGACATGGCTAGATCGACTCGGCTAGTGACCCTGATCAAGAATATATATACTTTATGGGGTCGGAAACGCTTCCTTCTAGCTGTTACATACTTTTGCACGAATCTAGTATACCCTTTTACTCTACGAGTAACGGGTATAAAAAGGATATCTGGTAATATAATTAAAGTGCTCCCCAAATCACAAAGATTAGCCACTCAAAGGATTTCCTTACCGAAATGTTCTTTTCATTTATCAAGATGATTTAGGTTTAAAAGCCAAAAACAGGCTCATCCAAAAATATATCCACATATACCCACAAACAGAGAAATGTAATAAAATACTAAAAAGCACAACAAAAAGGCGTCAGGTGCAGACAAACAGTTTCACACCCCCACGTAGAGTCGAAAACGGCATCCTTGAACACACAGTGGGGTATCGTGTTTACGCATTTATCCTGCCCAGAGGCTCCTTTCACAGAGGCCCTCGCTCTAATATTTAATTTAAAATGTTATCCCCCGGCATTTTTGCTTATGAGTTTGCAAGCGCAAGCGAGCGTCAAATGAAAAAGTTTCACACTTTACCAGCTCCCCAGTATCGGAGTATTTTATTTAAGGACCCTAAGTCGCTCGAAATCAGATTGCATTGCAGGCGGAGGCAGGAAGCGATTTTCGTGGATTTGTGCCGTGTTTTATCCCTTCTGACACTTCACTTGCGATTGACGCTATATTTAGAAGCACGCCGAGCGATTTATTTCAAAAGGTTCAATTTACCTCTGGGAATTTAGTGACATTAACCTTTCTCAATGGAAATTATATGCCTACGCTCGGAAGAAAAATAAAGAAAATTAATTATACATACCTACAATGACGTCTAATGGTAAATGAATAAAGGTTTTAAAATCACTTAAAAAAGGTGTCTTGAAGTATGCTACAATATATTTCATATCAAAAAAAAAGGTGTCTACAATTATGCAACAATATATTTTAAATTCAAAAGTCCTATGGATTAATGCTGAAATACAGGGTTAATTTTTTTGTTTCCCGCCAAATATATTCAAATAACTTTAATAAGGGTTAATTTAGTAGCCTTTCTTTCCTTTAAACATAATTATTGTGCTCTTTAAAACAGCTTTACAGTCGTGCATTTTCCGTCACACACGGCAATTAATTAAAATTCAATTAAGAACAAAGCTGGCACGTACACAGCCACAGCAATGCTCAATGCTCAATCATAATTTAAATTTTGGCCAGAACGAAATTAACCAACATAGAGGGCATAAAGCTGTGGGCCCTGACAATGTGATGTGTGCGTGTGCTCCTTGCTAATTGCAAATGAAATCCGATTCTCATTAACTTGCCCAGGCTCATAATTCACTTACTCGAATTTGGCACTTTAAATTTGAGTTCTCAGAATGGTCGGTATGGTGTGTCGTTTGGGCTCTGTTGATCTCATTATCACCTAGTGGCATTGTTGAAATATTTGCAGGAGCCAGAATGGCCAAATATGGCCAATGATTCGTTGATTAATAAATTATTCTTTATTAAATAGCGTTATGCAAATGCCGACTGCAGGAAACGAGAGGTGACAAAGCAGAGGAAATCCCACAGATGAATGATAAATATGACCAGGCATATTTATTAAAAAAATCAATTAATTTGCGATTAATTACAGATTCATTAAAAGAGTCAAATATCATCGAAATAAAATTTACGTGGACTTAAATCGCTTAAATGTCAGAGTTGAAAATTTTAGCATTTTAAAGCTCAAAGTCTGAAAGGCCAGAACCAATTAAATGTGATTTCTGGCGTTGCCAGACGAAATTCTATGCATAAATACCAACTTAAATTATTATAAAAAAAGGAAGACAAACATGTTATAAATATCAAATTACATTGCAGCATATTTTTCACTTTAAACAAATACTCAAATCACCATCAGAGTTGCAAAATTGCATTGCACAATGGAAAAAGGGTTTTTGTTTTACCGTGACTTTGTAACTGGTGAAAAGCGAATGTTTGCAGGTTGCATAAATTGCGAAAACATTTGTAAATATTTTAGTTTCGTGAGCGAGCATCAACATGAAAACAAGGATCGAGGATTTGCACTCTGACTCCTGTTGCATTTCAATTTGGTTATTTTTATTTACTTCTTTTATGCAAAACTAACTATTTGTTCAACAAATATGCAATAAAATGCATAGACGCTTTCCCACATTTTTCCCGCCCATTTCCATTTCCAGCCCCATTTAACGAAGTTAGAGAGAGTATTTTCCACATTTTGACTTCTCCGGAATTGCATGACAAATTACATTTGAGGTTTTTCACATGGACATTGATTTAATTACCAAATGAATTTCCTTGCCATCCAGAAGTCGAAAAAGAAGTTTAATTTCCCTCAAGTCTGGCCAGGAATTTGCATATATGTATGCACTCACTGCCCGAATCCTTTTCACATCCAGCCTGTCCGTCTGTCTGCCCGTTTGAGTAATTTCATTATGAGTTTTAAGACTTTTAATTAATTTAAAAAGTGAACAATTTTACACTCTTTTTCATAACAACTCTGGCTGGAGTCCAAAGTCCGCAGTCCGAAGTCCGGCTTTTGTCTGCCGAAGTCTGGTGGAGCCGGAAGAGTGGCATAATTTCCGCACCGCCTCGAACTTGATGCAAACATTTCATCTGCATTTCGAGTGGTCCAGGCCCGGCAGCAGAATCAGGATCAGGACCAAAAGCACGTCTGGGGGAAGGGGCATTGGCAGCATCAACAGCATTCAATTAATTTTCCGTACTTTTGCCATCCACAAAAGCGAAACTTTTGCAGTCCGACATCCGGCATTGTTGCCAACTTGAATGCTTATTTACGGACACAACAGCACCAGAAGCTCCCCCGGATTATGCCGAACATCATAAAACTTGTATCGACTCGTTAAACTGGCAGATGGAATGAACCCGTCATATGAAAAGTCCCTTGGACATTACACGGTGAAAAAATACTATTTATTAAATGTATTGTACAGTCTTAAAGGTGATTCATTTGATTTTAAATGTTTTATGAAATTTTTTTAATAATAATGATACAACTAGTTTATTTATGAAAAAATAATGAACAAGATTTATAAAAAAATAATTTTTTTAAGTAAGCCTTGAAATTTTGTTCATTTGCTGTTATTATTCGTAAAAGTCAAATACGTTGCTCACACACATACACTTCGAAAATTCAGTAAAATAATTAGATAGAAAATGTCCGCCGAAGTGGAGGAGCTGCTGAAGCGTTTTCAGTCCATGAAGAACATTATCGGGATAGTTGTGGTGGACAATGATGGGATTCCCATCAAGACGACCCTGGAATACAACCAGACTCTGCACTATGCGGCTTTAATGCAAACTGTGAGGGAGAAGGCTCGCCAGGTGGTCCTGGACATGGATGCCACCAACGAATTCACCTTCCTGCGGCTGCGGACTCTCCAGCACGAGCTGATGTTGTGTCCGCAGGAGGATTACTTCATCATGGTGCTCCAGAGTCCCTGTGACTAGTGTAGGACTAAACAAAATACATATTCTTTGGATATTCTTAATACAAGACCGAAACCTCATTTCTTTGGCAGCCATTTAAAGTCAAAGTGTTCGGCAAATAAAATGTTATTAACATATTCGTGATAGTCTCCATTTCGCCAACCAGAATTCCTTCATTAATAGCATTCGGCTGCAAATTATTTGCATTGGGAATCGGAATTGAATTGGAATGTCATTTGCGTGCCGAGCAGTCTTATTCAATATGCATCCTTTGGCCCACATGAATATATGCATGCATCCTTTTTTTCCCCCCACGAAACCCACTATCCCGTCCGGGCAAACTCATTTACAATAAATGAAGACTGACTGAGGCAGCCACGAAACAAATAAACTTTTTTTTTGCGGCCCTCGCCAGGATGCGAGCATGTAAGGATGCGGATGCCACGGTAACCGAAGAGGAGGGCAGGTTCCTCCTCTGGGTTTTGCTATTTTTCATTTAATTAAATACTTTACATGCAAAGTGCATTATGAGCAATGGGCGAAGCAAAAACCAGAAGCTGATAAGTTGGTAAAGTCGCACGGTTGCCTCTCAGGAGGCCAGGACATCGATGCCAATCCATCGATCGACTGGTGCAGGATGAAACTATTCACTCGAGATAACTTCATAAGCATCGGGACAGGATATAGAACAGTGCTGGCACAGCAATCAATTTGAAAAAGTCAACCGACGAGTCACAGAAAAAATACGAGGAACATGACCAGGTCATATTTTTAAAGAAACATTTTCTCCCTACTGCTAATGTGATTTGAAAATCCCAGATAAGTGAGTTCTTGAAATGGACAACCAGGTTAACAAATTTAAAGTCAGTTGTTGCATTTACATTCGTTTATTTGTGCAATAAATTTAACATCTTGATTGAATTATATGTATTTCTTATTCGAGTTGATTACAATTATATTTGCAGTTTCATTAATTTTTACAGGCTTAATTGTTGATGCTAATTTCATTTTTATTTACATTATTTATTGTGGGCTTAGCAGTTTCATGTTTATTTATATTACCTAATTCTGGCTTAGGGGTGAATTTAATATCAATAATATTTTGATTTATATTTACTTCATCTTTTTCTGGCTCTAAAGCTTCAATTTTAGTTTCATTTTTATTAACTTTACCTTTTTCAGGCTTAAATGTGTTTACGGGTCCTATAACAATTACATTCTGATTTACATTTTCACCTTCATTACCTTTTTTACACTCAAGGCTGCTAATCGTAGAGGTAAGCCAATCTTTAAAATAAACTACACTTGCATAAACCCCAGGGAAATTGGGATTGGCACATCCTGCAGACCAGGAAACGATGCCAACGAGTTCGCGGCCTGGAAAGCATACTAAAGGACCTCCAGAATCCCCATGGCATGCACGCTTTCCCGCAGCGGAAGCACAAATGCTTTTTTCAGTCACACCTCCAAAATAGGCCACTTGACAAGTCTTGTGATCCTCGACGGTAATTTTTACACCTCTTAGTGTTGGTGCACGCAAAGTGGAGCCCTCAACTGTATCTCCCCAACCAGTAACAAAGCATTCAGTTCCCGGTTCTGGAGTCTTGTCAGCAAGGATGATACTATTTACCCTTGATGTTCCAAGTCTTAAAGACTTATGCAGAAGAAGCACTGCAATATCGTAGGGATCAGAGAATATATCCCCTATGTACTTCTCATGTTGTTTGGCTTTCTGAATCTTATAAACTTGTCCACCGAAATGCGGAAAGGATGATCCAACGCGCACTGAATAATTTTCAAGTTCTGTGCGGTTCAAACAGTGAGCTGCAGTCAGGATAATCCGTTCACTGTATATAGCACCACCACAAATTTGTATATCATACTCTAATAGAGCCACTTGATAGGGTGCTTTTTCGATTGGAACAGAACCGCCACCAACGATCCTTTCCTCAGGTTCTGGAATCCTGGTGGAACACACAAGAGCAGCCAGTAACGCGATAGGTAAGAACTTGGTAATCATTTTAAACTTTTTCAGATTGAATTTGTTTCTTAAATGATTTCCAGCTCTTTTATAGGACTTTTGCATTCGCGGGCTCATAGAATATCGTTAATCACTCCCTATAAATTGTGCAACTTGACTGCTGCCTATCGGTTACCCAATTATTATTTAATCACTTTTAATAAGGTTTTTTGGATTATCCCATTAAAATTATCTTGATTGGTAAAGCTTAAAAAATTCCACAAAAAATGTCAGGGCTATGCAACTGAAAAGCTGCTTAAAATTTGATAAAAATTAATTGGTAGCTTGCTATTGTTTCACTACATTAGCAGTCACTATATAAGACTTGTTTCTCTTGCCAGTCGACTTTGCGAGAACTTAGTTATAATAACGCTAGCCTAAGAAGTTCAAGATGATTCTTTTGTGCATACTATATGTGATGGTACTTAGTGTTGTATCTGCTGCATGGATGCAAGGACCTGAAGTACGTATCGTTGGTGGAAAACCTGTTCAACAGCCCATTCCTTGGCAAGTGGCCCTTTTGCACGGAGGTATTCAATATTGTGGAGGTGCTATATACAGCGAAATGATTGTGATAACTGCAGCCCACTGTTTGCATGGCAAAAAGATTGAAGATTTATCAGTACGCTCAGGATCATCGTATTGGAACCATGGCGGTCAATCGGTGAACATAACTAAATCAGTTTCACATGCGAAATACAATTATTCCAGTTTTACTCATGATATCGCTGTGCTTCTCCTGAGCTCCCCACTGAAATTTGACAATTTTACACGAAATGTCGAATTGGCCGAGAGTACTCCGAAGGCAGGAACACCTGCTCTGCTTTCCGGTTGGGGAATTAAATATTTTGGTCCTAGTGCTAAAGGTCCTGATAAATTGCAGGCCCTCACAGTTTTTGTAAAAGATCGTAAAAAGTGTAAGAAGGCCTACAATTTATTGGCGGAATTATTGGCTGAAGAACATTATGATATACCCGAGGACAACATATGTGCCTCGTCAAGTGATAAAGGTGCTTGCAAAGGAGACTCCGGTGGTCCGCTGGTTACTTTATTACCCACCAAGCTTATTGGCATCGTTTCTTCAGGATTCCGATGTCTTACTCCTAGCTTGTACACCGATGTTACATTCTTCAAGACATGGATCGAAAGAACTGTAAAAAGCTTCGCATGCAGCCCGTTAAAAGATTACCAATAATGCTCATCAGATACTTACTTACATTAAAACAATCTCTATTGTATTCATACGTTAAAGTTCTTACTTTTCTTACTTACTAGGAAAACCATTTAGCTCAATAATTGTGTTAATTTTTTAAAATTAAATGACTTTAAAAGTCATTAAAATATTCGTACAATGTTTCATAAAAGTTTGTTAGCAAAAGCTAATTATATAATTTTAATAAATACCTACTTTTTAAAATCGGATTTGATATCACAAATTTTTTTGATAAGAACAATTTGAAGATTTTCTTTGAGTGTCACTCTGCTAAAGTTCCAACCCATGAGTAATAGCTAAGACGAAGACCACTCAGACTTAAGAAAGACAACTGAAGGACATCTGGATCATCGGTTCTCACCATGCGCGGAACCACGGGGGGTGATATGGTTGATATATCACCCCCCACTCGGGTGAAAAATAAAAGAAATTTTGGTATTCAAAAAGTATGCAACAAAAAAATTGTTCTGATATCACCCCCCACAACAGAATCCTGGATCCGCCACTGGTTCTCACTATCAGAACAAAATGGTGAGAAGTGAAAAGTTAAATTGAGTTTATTCAACCACCTGTTGATAAGAGTACACTACTGATCGGACTTTAGTTGTTGAAATTAACATTGTAAATAACGCCCAACTTGATTTAAGAACTTTGAAATTTACGCAATGTCATTCTGAATTTAAGAACCTTTTTAACTCAGATGAGAATGTCAGTATTTTCTCTGTTTAGCCAATCAGGCAAAGGTGGACCACAATGTCACAGCTAAAACCAGTTGGGAATTGCAGCTTTCCAAGCACAAAAGGCTTTGAAATATAAAAGAACATCGATTAATGCAATTCTATACTTTATTTTAAACAACTTTACCTTTACTTTACAAAGTGAAAACGTTGAAAGCTTCAACTTTTAAAGAGATTAATTTTGCAGAGGGTTAATAGCCTTAAAGGCTTCGAGCCATTTCTTGAGCACAACCACATTAGTGTAGACATCGAACAAGGGAATACCACAAAAGGAATTCCATGACGAGAGGCCAATTAGCTGGTTGCCGGGAACACTGACCAAAGCTGCACCTTCTTTACCGGCGCAAGGTCCTCTGTCCATGCGATTGGCACAAATCATATCCTCGGTAATGAGACTGTTACAAAACTGTTGGCATCTGACGTGATCTTCGATCTTAACGTCGGTTCCCTGCAGGTGGGTGGTAGACCAACCAGTGATCTGTACGTATAGTCCTGGTGTCGGCGTTTTGTCCGCTATATCAATGGGTGTAGCATTTTTTCCCAAAGGAATGGGAATACCCAAAAGAAGCACAGCAATATTATTGGCATTACTTCCGTAGGTCGTTTCCGGTGAGTACTTTTCGTGAATGAAAACTTCATGCACCGGTCTTAATTCACCTCCTCCCCATGTCGATGATCCAAAGGACACAACAATATCTTTTGGATTACGTCCTTGAACGCAGTGTGCGGTTGTCAAAACTATATTTTTGTTGTAAATGACTCCACCGCAATCTTCGGATGGCTTAATCAACAGAGAAACTTGCCAGGGAGCTTTTTCAATCGGCAAACCGCAAACGATCCTTTCGTCAACTGGATGAGGAACCCTTCCTGCAGACAGAAGGTCAGCTGCAAGCAGAAGAACTAAACTCTTTGTAAACATATTGAAATTGTTTAGACTTTTGGATTTGGTGTGCAAACAGAAAAGTGCGGCCCTCTTTTATAGTCGTCGTCTGATGGCGGTCATTCGTTACATAACATGAACTACTTATCTAAAAGCAATATTGTTTTATAGTTATGTTCGCTGACATGGGTAATTTTTTCCGGGTTTTTGGTTAAAATTACTATAATGTTTTAAAGTTATGTAGGTTGTCGTAAGTAATTATTTCCGTGATTTTCATTTACGTGCTAAGTGCGTTGTGAATAAAATATATTTGCACTCTCTGGCAGTATGAAATATTTCTTTTGACTTAGCTATAATTTTAATTTAATAACAATAATTATTTAATAATTACTAATAAGGAAATTAATATTTCTATTAGGTATCTGAGGAAGAATCAGTAATAATATTTATACAAATTGTATTATTGGTCTTAATAAATTATGGTCTTTGTTTTCTTAGTTTAATTTTTTAATTTCTGCGATGCGTAATTTTATAAGAATCATGTCGCATATCACATATTCTTAACTTACTTAACTTAGGTAAACAATATTAAAATATTTCATTACTCTTATCTGTATGGGGAAAAGAAAACAAATTTCATAACATATTTATATCTTTGGTGTGAAAGATAGGCTACTCACAAGTTAAACGATAAATAAAATTGATTTATGGCTTTCTATAAGGCTGCTATTTAAGCGGACCCATAAAAGAGTCGGTTTCTTTCCAGTTTGATATTGAAATTCTAAGTTACAAACTGCAGTCCAAAAATTTAGAAATGATAGTTTGTAGCTTACTATCTTTCATCGTGTTTGGAATGGTATCTGCTGGATGGGTACGAGGTCCTGAACAACTTATGGTTGGTGGAGACCCCCCTGAATTTGACAATTTCACGCATAATATCGAATTTGGCGACAGTACTCCTAAAGCAGGTACGACAGCATTTGCTAGTGGTTGGGGGATGACATATATTAGTCCTGGCAAGGTCCTCATTAATTACATGCCGTAGAGCTTTCCGTTAAAGATCGAAATAAATGAGAAAATGCTTTTAATTGCCAGAATTATTGGCTGAAGGCGTACCCATTATTATAACGGAGGACAATTTTTGAGCTTCTTAATTTCGGTTTTGGGTGTCTAACGCCTGGATATTTTGCTGATATTGCCTTTTTCAAGACATGGATCGAGCGCACTGTAAGCAAATTAGAGTGCTGTCTGGAAGTTCTGCCTAACCTTAAAACATAATATTAAGATATTTAAATAAAGAAAGAACCATTGTATTTGTCGTAAAAATATTTATTATACACAGAGAAAAAAACCCAGCACATTGTACTTGAAAAAAGAAAATTCGTTCCTAAAAACCGTGTAAGCGCAAATGTTCTTATTTTGAGATAAATGTTATCTTTATGTAAATGGTTTAAGTTCCTTTTTCAAGTTTATTTGATTCTTATTTTTTAAAATGTTATACTTAATAATGCGCCAAGGGGATGGCAGTAGCATTACTTCCAAGCGGAATTGGTGAACTCAAGACGAGCACAGCTCAATATAGCTGTGTTTGACGGGGAGACCATCGTCCCCATCGTGCCTTATAGCATAAGCCACCCTTATCAATTCAACAGAACCACTTGTAGATAATCCCTAGTAAACTGATATGTTTTCTGTTTGTCTACACCAGGGACCGAAAATAACTGTTATTGTAAATTTTTCTTACCAAAAAAATCATGCACTTAGAAGAGTCCAAAAATTTGTTGAAATATACCATTATTTTTGTAAGCCATTGTAGTTTACAAATCCGTAATGATTTATATTTATTTGATTTTTATAATAAAAGTCAAAAATAACTGTTATTTGTTGATTTTTATGTATAACAGTTATTCTTTTGAAATTTTTGAAAAAATGAAATTATTAAAAAAAAAACATGCTAACCGAGTTTTATATAACTTACAAAAAATCTTTAAAAAAAGCCAACCGTGCATATTGTATAACTATATTTGTATACCCTTGCAGAGGGTATTATGATTTCAGTCAGAAGTTTGCAACGCAGTGAAGGAGACGTTTCCGACCCCATAAAGTATATATATTCTTGATCAGCATCACTAGACGAGTCGATCTAGCCATGTCCGTCCGTCCGTCTGACCGTCTGTCCGTCTGTCCGTCTGTCTGTTTCTACGCAAACTAGTCTCTCAGTTTTTGAGCTATCGGGATGAAACTTTCCCAAAAGTCTTCTTTCTATTGCAGGTAGTATATATGTCGGAACCGACCGGATCGGACAACTATATCTTATAGCTCCCATAGGAAGGATCGGAAAAGAAAACGTTAAAAAAATTCTAGCTTCGGTGTTTTTTGAAATATTACCTTCTACTTTTGGGGATGTTATTTTTTAAATATTTCTGAATTTCGAATTAAATATTTAAAAAGTCGGACTAATATATCATATAGCTGCCATAGGAACAATCGGAAAATTAATGGAAAAAAAATAGGAAATAAATTCTAGCTTCTTTGGTTTTTATTGTATTATCTCCTACTCTAGGATATAACTCTTTTTAAATATTTCCGAATTTCAATTTTAATTTGATCAAAATCGGACGACTATATCATATAGCTGCCATAGGAACGATCGGAATTTAATGAAAAATATTAGAAAATTGAACATTTTTGCGATTTGTTAATTAATAGGAATGATCTGCAAGGGTATATAAGCTTCGGCTGGCCGAAGCTAGCTTCCTTTCTTGTTATACCCTTGCAGAGGGTATTATGATTTCAGTCAGAAGTTTGCAACGCAGTGAAGGAGACGTCTCCGACCCCATAAAGTATATATATTCTTGATCAGCATCACAAGACGAGTCGATCTAGCCATGTCCGTCTGTCCGTCTGTCCGTCTGTCCTTCTGTCCGTCTGTCCGTCTGTCCGTCCGTCTGTCCGTCTGTCCGTCTGTCCGTCTGTCCGTCTGTCTGTTTCTACGCAAACTAGTCTCTCAGTTTTTGAGCTATCGGGACAAAACTTTCGCAAAAGTCTTCTTTCTATTGCAGGTAGTATATATGTCGGAGCCGACCGGATCGGACAACTATATCTTATAGCTCCCATAGGAAGGATCGGAAGAAAAAAGCTTTAAAAAATTCTAGCTTCGGTGTTTTTTGAAATATTACCTTCTACTTTTGGGGATGTTATTTTTTAAATATTTCTGAATTTCGAATTAATTATTTAAAAAATCGGACTACTATATCATATAGCTGCCATAGGAACGATCGGAAAATTAATGGAAAAGTAATAGGAAACAAATTCTAGCTTCTTTGGTTTTTATTGTATTATCTTCTACTCTAGGATATAACTCTTTTTAAATATTTCCGAATTTCAATTTTAATTTGATCAAAATCGGACGACTATATCATATAGCTGCCATAGGAACGATCGGAAAATTAATGAGAAATATTAGAAAATTGAACATTTTTGCGATTTGTTAATTAATAGGAATGATCTGCAAGGGTATATAAGCTTCGGCTGGCCGAAGCTAGCTTCCTTTCTTGTTTTTAAATTTGTTTTACCCACAAAATCGCCATAAATCAAGTTTGAGTTTTATTTTTGATTACGACGAATAACGGGTGTTTGACAACTTTTATTATAAAACTCAAAAAATAACAGTTATTCTTTGACTTTTACTTTACAAATCAGAAAATAACTGTTAAAATGTGATTTTTAACATAAAACTCATAACAGTTAGGGTCCCTGGTCTACACACACAAAAAAAACTTGGTAAAATGAACTGTAATAATTGTCAAACAGGCCCCAACCAGCAAAATTTTCAATTCTACTAAATAAATAGTCATTTCACAACAACAAAATACACACAATTAGCAAAGACACAAACCCAAAGCAAAAACAAAATACACGTAACTATTTTAATAGTTACGCAACTATCTTTGTTGGTCAATTTTACCAAGCAAATTTTTTTGTGTGTATAATAAATACATCGGGCGGCTGATAAAATGATGTCCTCCTAACACCACCGCAAGTTAAGACCACACCGAAGACTTAAGAAAGACGACTCAAAGACCTCTGGAAAGTTAAATTGAGTTTATTCAGCCACTTTTTGATACAGTGGTAACAGGCCCAACTTGATTTAAGGCCAAACTAAGATGAGAAGAATCGAAGGTGGACCAACAGGTCACAGCTAAAACCCGTTGGGAATTACAACTTCCCAGACACAATAAGTTTTGAAATATAAAAGAAAATCGATAATTGAAATTCTGTACTTTATTTTAAAGGTAAACAAGTTGAATACTTCAACTTTACAAAGTGAAAACGTTGAAAACTGCAACTTTTAAAGATATTCATTTGGCCAAAGAGGCTGTGGCCTCGATCCAACCCCTGAGCACAACCACATTGACGTAGACATCGGGGATCAAGGGATGACCACAGTAGGAATTCCATGACGAGATGCCAATTAGCTGGTTGCCGGGAAGACTGACCAAAGGTCCACCGGAGTCACCGCCGCAAGGTCCATTGTCCTTGCCATTGGCACAAATCATGTCCTCGGTAATGGCTACATTTTGAGTGTTACAAGACGGTTGGCTATCACTGTAGGCAATCTGGCAACGAGCGCTATCTTCGATCTGAACGTAGGCTCCCTGCAGGTATACAGTCCCAGGATCGGTGGCACCGTCTTGGGTTGTGCCCCAACCAGTGATCTGCGCCCATTGTCCTGGATTCGGCGTTTCCTTCGCTATCTCAATGGGCCGAGCTTTTTCTCCATAAGGAATGGGCGTACGCAAAAGGAGCACAGCAATATCATTGGCATTACTTCCGTAGGTCGTTTCCGGGGAGTAATCTTCGTGAATAAAAACTTCATCCACAACTGTTAAGTTACCTGCTCCCCATTTCGAGGATCCGGAGGACACAACAATGTCACTTGGATTACGTCCTCGAACACAGTGTGCCGCTGTCAGAACTATATTTTCGTTGTAAATGACTCCACCGCAACCATTGGTTTGCTTAATGTCCAGAGAAACTTGCCAGGGAACTTTTTCAATCGGCGCGGGAAAACCGCAAACGATCCTTTCGTCAACTGGATGAGGAACCCTTCCTGCAGACAGAAGGTCAGCTGCAAGCAGAAGAATCAAACTCTTTGTAAACATATTGAACTTGTTTAGACTTTTGGTTTTGGTATGCAAACTGAAAAGTGCGTCCCTCTTTTATAGTCATTTTCTGAAAGCGGTCAATCACTACATTACACGAATTACTTATCTTAAAGCAATATATTTGGTTTAGAAAAAAGTTATAACATTTTAAAGTTATGTTGGCTGGCATATGTAATTATTTCCGTGTTTTTCGTGTAGATGCAACATTTTTTTAAAAAAGCTATAATATTTTTAAGTTATGTAGGTTGTCATATATCATTATTTCCGGGGTTTTTTTTTGTATGGTGGCAAAATGCGTTGCGCATACATCAAGATAAAAAAAAAAAGAGAAAAAAGCTGCTTGATTTCAGAATTTTTTCTATTCACTTTTCTTGGGAATAGGTGTTCTTAAAATCAAGAGTAAAGGGTTCACGAATTGGTTTTTCGGGACTTCATTATTCTTGATTTCGTTTATTAAGAATAAAGAATATTGAAATCGTCAAATATATTTGTAATCTTTGGCAGGAATTACTTTAGTTTATTAAATGAATAAAATAACTATTAATTTGCTATTATTATGCCAACAAACATCAAATTTAACAGTTGGCGTACTGTTAATTAACAATTTCGACTTGTAAACCAAGAAAAACGAAAATGAACTTTTTCTTTACACTTATCTATATGCGGAAGAAAAAAATAAATTCCATAACAATGTCATATCATTGAAAAAAAAAGATAAACTGTGTACAAGTTAAACAATATGTAGCAATTGATTAATAGCTTTATTTTTACGACTTAAGCGGACCTATAAAAGAGTTGCTTCCTATTTAAATGAGATATTGAAAACTTTGCTACAGTGGGGAACTTCTAAAACAGCAACAGCAGTTTACAAATTTAAAAATGATAGTTTGGTGCTTACTATCTGTCATCGCGTTTGGTGTTGTATCTGCTGTATGGGTCCGAGGCCCTGAGGAACGTATCGTCGGTGGAGAACCCTTTGGATCCCCTATTATATATCAAGTGGCTCTTTTGGAAAATGGTTTACTGCTTTGTGGTGGTGTTATATACAGCAAAAGGATTGTTCTAACTGCAGGCCATTGTGTTGAAGACCCAAAGGTGGATAATTTATCAGTGCGGGCAGGATCTTCCTCGTGGAGAAATGGCGGACAGTTGGTGGACGTAATTAAAGTTATTACCCACGAGAATTACGGTGCTAAAAATAGACATCTCTTTAATGATATCGCAGTGCTTCTCCTAAGCATCCCACTGAAATTTGACCACTTCACGCATAATATCGAATTGGCCGAGAGTACTCCTTGTGCGGGAACACCAGTTTTGGCTAGTGGTTGGGGGATGACATATTTTAGTCCTGGCCAAGAAGGTCCTGATCAATTACATGCGGTACTTATTTCCGTTAAGGATCGAAATAAGTGCCAAAGGGCCTACAATTTATTGGCAGAATTATTGGCTGAAGACGAGCCCATAATTTTAACGGAGGACAATATTTGTGCTTCCCAATTTGGCAAGGGTGTTTCTCATGGAGATTCTGGTGGGCCTTTGGTTACCCTTAAACCGCTTCGGCTCGTTGGCATCGTTTCAGACGGTTTTCGAGATCTAATGCCTGGATATTTTGCTGATACCGTTTTTTTCAAGACGTGGATCGAGCGCACTGTAAGAAAATTAGAGTGCTCTCTGGAAGTTCTGCCTAGTCCTGAAATTTGAAAAATGATTATTAAGATTTACCAATTAAGAAACAATTGTTTTTGTCATTAAATATTCTTAATAAACACTGAGAAAAAAAATAAAGCACAATCTACTTGAATTAAGGACACGAATGGTCCTTTTCAAGTTCTCTCAATGTATGTGAATTTCGTTCCATTTTCAAGTTTATTTTATTTTTATTTGAATTGTCTCTGTGTAAATTTAAAGAATTAAAATACCTCGGTTCGTCCTATGCAAGTACATTTCAGATGTCCAGGCTTAGGTGTTTAAAAAGCCAGGGGGATGGTTGTAGCATTACATCCAAGCGAAATGGGTGAACTCAAGAGGCGTAGTCTATATGTCTAATAGGAAGGACCCACCTTTACCGAATCACCAGAAGAGCTTGTAGATGATCCATAGCAAACTGATATGTTTTCTGCTTTTCTATAATAAAATGTAACTATGTAAGTGTTCTGTTATTATTTTTAAAAACACTCGATAAGGCACCAATTCAAAACCTTCCACGATTCGTTGATCCTGGGAAACAGAAAAAACGCTCTTTAAAATAATGCCTTTTATCTTTAGTTTTGTAGATTTTCTTAAGTCATTAAATCATTGGAGATAACCCAGGCGACCTATTTGGAGTTATCTCGCAATACTAAATATTATTATCATTATCATTATAAATATGTTGCGGTTTTTCCGTTAGTTGGACGGAAGGTAGCCCTATAAAAGAGAGGCGGCTCATTCCATGTGAAACGTGACAGGAAAATTGGGGTCAAATCTTAGAAAACATAAATACAAGAATTATTCAACCACTTTTTGATAAAGCCCAATTTGATTTTAAGACATTGAAATCATTTCAAACTTAAAAAATGCTGTTCTAATCTTAGGTACTTTTATAACTCAGGAATCCTGAGTCAGGATCGAAGGTGTACCAAAAAGTCACAGCTAAAACCAGTTTGGAATTACAGCTTCCCAACCGAAGCAAGCTTTGAAATATAAAAGAAAATCGATCAATGCAATTCTGTATCTTATTAAAGGGAAACTTAAACTTTACAAAGTAAAAACGTTAAAAGCTTCCACTTTTAAAGAAATTAATTTTTACGCCGCGCTATTGCAAAATAGGCATTGAGCTCGATCCAATACTTTTGCTTAACAACATTAGTGTAGACACCGGGGATCGCGGGCTGACCACACAAGGATGACGAGAGGCCAATTAGCTGGTTGCCGGGAACACTGATTAAAGATCCGCCTTCGTCACCGCCGCAAGGTTTTTTGGCACAAATCATATCCTCGTTTATGGCTACATTTTTAGTTTTACAAGACGGTTGGTAGGCAGTCTGGCAGCGGGCCTTATCTTCGATCTCAGCGTTGGCTCCCTGAAGGGTTGCATTGGCTTTTTCGTCTGTGGTTCCCCAACTCATGATCTGCACCTTTTCTCCTGGTTTCGGCATTACCATCGCTAACTTAATGAAATTAGCTTTTTCTCCCAAAGGAATGGGCGTACGCAAAAGGAGCACAGCAATATTATTTCCGTTGCTCTTTTCCGGGTGGTAATGTTCGTGAATGGTAACGTCTTGCACAACGGTTAAGTTACCTTTTCCCCATGTCGAGGATCCGAAGGACACAGAAATGTCACTGGCATTAAGTCCTTGAACGCAGTGTGCGGTTGTCAGAACTATACTTTCGTTGTAAATGACTCCACCGCAACCTTTGGATTCCTTAATCACCAGAGAAACTTGCCAGGGAGCTTTTTCAATCGGGGTGTCAGAGCCGCAACCTGAAGCAGAAACGCTTCCTGCAGACAGAAGGCCAGCTGCAAGCAGAAGAATCGAACTCTTTGTAAACATGTTTAACTTGTTTAGACTTTTGGTTTTGGTATGCAAACCGAAAAGTGACTCCCTCTTTTATAGTCATTTTTTGAAAGCGGTCAATTATTACATAGCACGAACTACTTATCTATTAAGCAATATATTTTTTTTGCTTTTCGGTTTAAAAAAAGCTATAATGTTTTGAAGTTACGTTGGTTGTCATAAGCAGGGCTTGGAAAATAACAAGCACTGTAAAAAACTTGTGTTATTAACATGTTAAATATTCAGGTGTGTCCCTGAAAACTCTAATAATCAAAAAACAACCCAAAAGCAATTTTTGGACATGATTTGAGCCTACTCTATTGGAGAGATCTCTTGTCAACAGGATCTCGGAGGACCTTTAATTAGCATACAAGATCAAAAGCTCATTGGAATAGTTTCTTTTGGTGATGGTTATGCTCGTTCCAATTTATCTGGAGTCTACGCAGATGTGGCTTACTTCCGTAAATACACAGAGAAAATTATACAACGTTTTAGGTGCCGTTTTCATATAAAAACGTTTTAAAAATAAAAATGAAAACGTTTTAAAAATGCAAAGTAAAATAATTTTGTATGAAACGTTTTACTTTTTAAAATGTTTTACCCCTTATTTTGCACCTAAAACTTTTGATAATTTTCTCTGTGTACGTGTATTTAGGAAATCGCCGTCGATTGTTAAAAACTAAAATATACGCATTCAAAAACCTAGTAGTCTTTTATATTAAACTAGAGTATAAGCACACAACGAACTAAGAAACCTTTTTTATATTTAATTGTATTGTTATTTAAAACTAAATTGGTTCTACTTTATTTTTATTTTTTGTATTTTTTATTTTATTTTGTTGAATTCTATTAGAATTATTCTACTCAATCATCGGCTGACATTTGTAAATTAAATCTGTATCAAGTCAGTCGTCTTTCACCTGTCAGCATGTCCGGCATAATCATATTTCTGTGCCTTCCAATCATTGTTTTCCGTCTGCCCAGCACCATGTGTGTCATTTAATAGCTAATATACGATTATAGCCGATTGCACCCGTCCATTCCGTAGTTCGTGATCCATAAACCGTGACCCCGACAGTCCGACGATGTCCAAGAAAGGCAATCAACTCAAACCCCCATCCATTCATCCATCATCGACCAATCATCCAGGCTGCAATCAGAAGATGACAGCACCGCTTCCTAACCCAAAGCCCGAGGAGAAGAGCCGCATCCTGGAAATGCATGAGATATTCCTGGGGCACGACACCCGTGGCGATAATAAGATATCCATTCGCCACCTGGGCGACTGTCTTCGTGTGATGGGTGCCAATCCCACCGAGGCGATGGTCGGCAAACATGTCCGCCAGTTCGAGGCCTCCACCATGGAGCGCATCTCCTTCGACGAGGTGATGACCATTTACAGTAGTCTGGGCAGGCACGGTGGCCGGCTGAGTCCCCGGAAGAAGCAGATCGAGGAGGAGCACTTCATCGAGTGCCTGAAGCTCTTCGATACGGATAATTCCGGTCTGCTCCCCGCCATCAGAATTCGACGTATTTTAACCCAGTGCGGAGAGTGCTTGAGTGCCTTTGAGGCGGACCAACTGCTGAAGGGCAGGATCAACGAGCAGGGCATGGTAGACTATAAGGAGCTGATTCATGATATTATCAATGGGTAGCTAAAAGGAAAAGCAAGTAAGGAGATTCGATCTGAGGAGATGAAATTGGAAAAATAATCCAGAAAATAACTCAATTAATGACAGGTGAAAGTGTGTTTAAAATAAATGTTTGTCGCAAACCCAAGGGGAAAAAACTATCTGTTTTATTGCGTAATTTAATTTAGATAAACTACTTTTCTGGGAAAGATATAAAATACAAATAATACGGACAACAAAAAGTTTGTACCAATAAATACAAATATTTGAATTAAATACAGATACCTAATATGTAATATAAACCATATTAAATAGCTTCATTTAACTTAAAAATGCAACTAATAATTCGCTATCCAGATAGAAAACATAAGTTACGATGTTAGTCATGTTTGCATTAAGCATCTTTTAATTAAATAAAAAAGGATTTAATATTTTAAGGACACTGGTAATATTTTAAAAATATATAAATCAATCCCTAAAATGTAAAAAGCGAAACAAATAATTTAACCGGAGAATTGATTCGGTGAATCAATCTAAACGTCTCTTAGTGCCATTATTTATCTAGGGCGCCCCACATATGGCATCATCAATTGTTCACCAGACTCTCGGTTTTCCCTTCTCGGTACTCAGTACTCCCCAGGGAGATGAATGACCCAAAAAGGCAACTGGACAGCTGAGTTCATCATCCATTCGGTTGTGGGAAACGGCATTCGGCATGGGAATCGCACTCGCAATCGCTGGCTGCCCAGAACAAGTGCAATGGATTGCAAATAATTTGAAAGCGCCGAACCCCAAAACATGGAAAGTGCCTAATGCTAATGCGCGATGATGCCTCCAGCTGTGGTCAGCGATTCGGTGGGAAAATGTTTGTAGTGGGGGATTGGGAGGATTTAGGATGTGGCATCTGGTGGCAATAAATGCAAAAACATGGACTGCACTCGGATCGATGGGCAGCATATGCAAATGCTGTCAGAAACATTCCGATTCCTGGCATATTTCCGACACATTTCGGTTGCTTTTGAAAAAGGAAAAAAAGAAGGGAAGCTGGCAAAAGTCGAAATCAATTGAAAGGGGGAATTTTGGAGGGGGGTATGGAATTGGAATTGCTTAGCGTGAGTCCTCAACTTCTGACTTTCTATGCCCCATACGATCGAAGTCAAAGGAGGCTGCTGACTTTGCTGAATCCCACCAATAAGCAGGTTTTGTTCAAAGTGAGATGATCTGAATATTATTTCTGTACCGTACGAATTCCCAACTATTCTTTTACAGATTAAATCGAACGTCGTGCGGCTCTATAAAGTTATTCCCTGTGCAGGCAGAATAGAGCCTTATGGTACTTGTGAGATAAGCATCACTCTACATAAACTTGACTATCAAGAGGATCTAAATCATCTCTTTTCTATCCACTCCATCTTTGCTCCTCGAGATCATTTAAATGGCCAGACAATCTTGTCAGTTTTTCGTGGAGTTTCTAGAAGTGATATCTCCGTTAATAGCTTATCTGTTTGTCTGGAGCAAAAGCCCCTTTCATTGGCTAATTCTGGTCTGGATTCACTCTCAAGTTTGATCAAAACAGCTATGGAAAATGATCAGCAGCTAAGACCTCTCTGTCCAAATTGTCCAAACATGTTGAAGGCCCCGCAGGAACAGAAAAATATCAAGAAAAGTGGTCTTTTATCTAAACTTATCATAATAGGCTCCTTGATGGGAGGTAAGTAAAACTGTAACTTAAAACAAATTCACCGATTCAGCTAGGCCTTCAGTTGTTCTCACAGCATATATGCAACGTGCTCAAATGTATGACGTGATAAACAACTTAAACTCAGTGGAAGAATTTCTGTAAAAATTAAAAGAATTGTATTTCCAATGCAATTAGAATTTTGAAACAAAGTAAAGTAAAATATAATATAAAAGCTTTACTTATTTAAACAATAAAAACAATAATACAATGAACCTAGGATAGTAGCCATGTGTAATTGGCAAGTAAACAATTAAAAAAAAATTACAGATAACGCGAAAGAACTTAGATGGAATTTATAATGAAAATGCATTACCACGGTCACCAGAAAAAAAAGGAGATACATTTTTGTGGTATAAAGATAAGATTCCCATAAACTTCTTAATTTATAGATCTCTTAATTTATAGAATTTAGAATTAAGTAAGCACCTATCCCTATATAAGATGGGCAGAATTTTCATTTCAGACACCGGAAACTTGAGTAAAACAACGTTAAAATGTTCTTTAAGTATATAGTGCTCTTATCAGTTGCTGTATTGGTTTCCGCTGCGAGGATTGCTGGCCCCGAGGAAAGGATTATTGGAGGACACTACATTCCCATCGAAAATGTTGCCTATCAAGTATCGTTGCAAGATAAAAGGGGTCACTTCTGCGGTGGAACCATACTTAGCGAGCGGGTTATTCTAACTGCTGCTCACTGCCTTTATGGACAAATAATTCAAGATATATCAGTGCGCGCTGGATCATCGCATTGGAAGAGGGATGGACAGGTGGTAAAGGTTCTTAAAGCCATATTACATCCACAATACGATCAACGTACAGTTGCCCATGATGCTGCCGTGATGATTTTGGAGTCACCTCTCATTTTCGATGCTAATGTACAGAAAATAGCTCTAGCTGAAGAAACTCCTAAAGAAGATACTATGAGCTTGGTAACAGGGTGGGGATTTACACGAGAAAACTCTGGATATGTATGGCCCGTACTTCAAGGCGTCCATGTAGCTACCATCGATCACAATGATTGCCAGAATGTCTATAATAATTTAAAAAATATAACTAAGGACATGATTTGTGCTGATGAGCCTGGAAGCGGGTCGTGTACAACTGATTCCGGAGGTCCTTTGGTTAGCGTTAATGATCAGAAGCTCATTGGCATAGTGTCGTTTGGCGAGGGCTGTGCTAGAGAAAAACCTGGAGTCTATGCAGATGTGGCTTTTCTGCGCGAATGGATTAATAAAACAATTGTGAATAATATTAATTGTATTGGTGTTAATACCTAAAAATCTACTATAGTAGCAATAAAAACAAGAGCATTTAAAAAAAAGTTCGATATTATTAACAGTTTATATGCTTGAAAATGGAATCGCATTTCTTTGTTAGCTTATAATATTTTAATTTTGTAGATATTTTTGCCGGGTCTGAACTCTACCAGAGATTTTGAAAGTCGTACATTTTTGAAGCTTCGGGATATAAATTAAAGGGTTATTATAATTGTTATTATTATCCCATTGCAAACAGTGTTAAAGTAAGAGCTTTTTTTGAAAATGGTTTATTACTATATGAATACTTATGTAAAGCTTCGTTCTTGATAATTCTAAGTTTGTATTTTTATTTATTTTTCTTGAGTTTCTTTGAATTCTCCTCAATCCATCGCAGGTAGTGAAAGACGTTCGTGTAAAGAGAGGGCAGTTCGGTGTATCCGCAGCCGTGTCCTTGGACTGCAATGCCGACCAGTTTGTTGGCCAGGATCAAGGGACCTCCATAGTCGCCGGGACAAATGTCGTTTTGGATGTAAAATGAGCAGAGAAGTTCCGGGCCAGTTGGATCGAGCAGCTCTTCAACGCAAACGCTTCGAGGTCGAAGTTTGGTGACTCCATTCTGCAGTTTTTTGGGCAACACATAGGACTCCAGTTGTTTCTCGCCCCATCCCGCGTTGCTTGGATATTCATTTTCAGCGGGTTCAATTTGGGTCAGCGGAATTTTGGTTACTCTACTCGATAGAACAGATGAACTGAGCCACAGCAATGCAATGTCGTCGTTCAGCTCATGAGCCTTATATTTTTCATGAACCACCACCGCTGTTACCTTGAAGACTTTGCCACCTCGATAAGGTTCTGAAGAACCAGCACGCACAGTAATCTTGTTCAATGCGATACCCTTGACACACTGGGCGGCCGTGATGACAATTTGACTATCGATTACACTTCCACCGCACTCCTGATACCCATTAATTCGGATAGCCACTATGAAGTTCCAAAAATCGAATCTAGCATCGACTCCGTTGTGGATTCCATTAGAGCTCCGTGAAAATAAGATCAACACCATGCAGCGCCATAAAAACATTCTGATTTTTACCTATATTTCGATAGAGTCTTGATCTTCATAACAGATCTTGACAAATCCGAGGAAAATTGGTTATCCTTGGTTTCGATATGGGTGTTAAATGTCAATTTTTTACACTTTAGTCTTAGAAGAATACAGTCGAAAGTGATTTAAACACTTGAGATTTTTATGTTTACTTTAACAGATCTAATTTATATTAAGAACAAATGTTTGTCTTTCAAATTGCGGTGAAAAGTTATTTAAGTAAGTATTTTTAAAAATGTTTAATAATTTTTTTTATTTAATAAATATTTTCTGATATATTCTTGAGAAGAAAAAATGCTTATCTTTAAAATTAAAAAACAAATAGCTGTATATAAACTGAATTATTCCAAAAAATTTTTCTTTAAATTTACTTCAAATCAACATGACAAATCGCCAAGTTGAGAATCCCTGGGAATAATCCTAACCAACATTCATGAGGAATAGTTTGACAACCAGTACCGGCAAGGACATTATTGCGAATCTACAGTATGGCATTTGATATTAGAGCATTTCAAGGATTTCACAAAGCAGCTTCGTACTCCTTTGACTGATGACATTTGAGGCCATTAAATGGATAGTCGAATGGGTCAACCGTGTTGTTCGGCAGGTCGGCAATGCCACTCTATCTTCTGCGGTCAAACGCGGAGGTCAAAGAGCAGGTGGGCGGTGGGCGTGGTCATTGGCTAATTGGCGGCCGTAGTTCATTAGTGTGCGAGTCACACGTTGATTAGGCGGTTTGGATTCGGATGCGGTTGCAATTTGGTGTCGCAACCATAACAACAATAACAATCGCCTGAAATTGATGGTCTGGCAAAACAGGATGCAAATGGCAGGGACAAAGGTGTCCTTTGACCTGCATTTCAATGACTTTCATTAGAAGAGAAAGATGATAATAACGCCGGAAGTCCCTAAATCGTATGGTTTAAAAAAGGGTTTGCTTATCCAAGCAAAAAATACTTATTACTGAAGTTTAAAAAAATGTAAAACAATTTAATACAATAAAAACATGTATTCCGTAAAAAAAGAAAGTAATTATTCCCTTTTACCATGGTCATGATCAATTGATATGCTTTGTTAAACCATGATATCTTAAGAAATCTTTAAATACCATGTTACTGATATTACTTTCCGTCTTCTTGGTTGTCCAATTGAAATGCGAACAACAAGCCGCCGACGACGATGGACAAAACTGGCAACAATGGCCGTCTAATCTCGGCTTAAAAACTTACCGCAAAACTCCTGGTGAAAATGGCAAGGGACAAACAGAGCGGCAAACGAGCAAAGTCAGGGGAAAAGTCCCTGGGGAAAAGCTTATTCATCGGAGACGACAAACAAACAAGATGTGCCGGGGCCATAAATTAGCATCACTTAAGTGGGCAGATGAGAGTCCGACGGACCTCTGAGGGGGCGTGTAATCCTTTCAACGATTAATTGCAACCCAGCCCCAGCAGAACCGAAAGATCTCGTGGGCCGACGGGTTGGAAACGTGAATATAAATGGCTAAATCAGACAGGGACGTACACAAATGTCATGTGGGACAGCTAATGATATCTACAAATCCCCAAACTCAATCAATTGTGTGGCCGAAAGATAATGGTAAGATAAACTGGTAGAGTGAACTGACTTTTGTACGCCCTTTTGTCGATTCTTAGGGAATTTATAAGAAAATAGTTTGTATTATATCTTAAAAGTATTATTTTTTAAATTCAAAAATAAGTAAAGTTTTTTAAAGTAAAGATCACTAAAATAAACCAAGTAGTTCTTACGACAAAAAAGGGGGAGTTAATAGTCATCCCAGGAGGTTGACCTTGATTAACCCCTATTGGCCTGTTGCCATCTCTTTTCCACTGCCATAAATCGTTTTTATGGCTTTCCATTACGCTGGGCAACGGTACGTATACGTAATATGCCCTGGGCAGCCTTGCACTGGTAACCCATTTTTATGTACGCAACGCTCGCTTTTTTTTCGCACTAGGCCACACATTTGTGCAGCCTGTCGCCAATCGGTGACTTATTGCATTTTCCTCCCCTCCGAGTCCCGATTTTCCATTGCCTTTCCCGCGATTTTTCCCCGCTTTTCCACGACCCACGACAAGGCAATGCAGTCAACTGAAAACGCACTGAGCAAATAAACAAAGGAAGCGAGGCAAAAGTCTAGAGGAAATGCATTCGGTAAGGTGGGTGAATGTGGGATGGAAAAGGGTGTTGGGTGAGGTTAAAGGGGTTTTCCGAGGGGGGTATCTTCCGAGGTCCGGACCCCGGCTTCATTTGCCTGCCAAAACGGATCTCTGGGCCAAAGTGAGTGTGTTCACCTTGACTCATTCGCGGATTTTTCCTTTTCCTCCATTTGCCCCGGCATCTTTCACTGATTTTCCACCGTACCTCCTTCTCCTCCTCCTTGCGTTTTCGTCCTTTGCCCGTTTGTTTGGCTTTGTTGTTGCCCCTTTAACATTTTTAATGAGTTGCAATGCAAAGACGAGGGGTGTCCTGTCAAAGGATTAAAAAAGCGGAGAAAGGTTTTTAACATTTCGGGATCACAACTTTGACATTTTTTTACTGAAAGCGGATTACAACTGAAATACCTATTCTTTTAGCTTTGAAAAAATATTTTAAACAATATTTTTACTCGGCTAGAGTAAAATTTATTATTATGCAAATTACCAAGATAATTAATAGAGAAAATAATTAAATATACAACTACTGAAAGCTATGTGAGAGAAATAATTAGTTTATAACCGATAATTTTAAAAATATTCCACAGAAAAATTTTAAAATTCTTTTAATAATTGCTTAATTAACAAAAAATCGTACATTTAAAGATGAACTCGTTTAACGACAAACAAGAGTATTTTTCTTTATTTTTCAGCCAGACAACCAAAACAGACATGAAAATCGATTTGTATTTCTTTGTGAAAATGATAAAAATGCGCCAATTATTCTGTACATTTTCGGAAGTGTTAATTCAAATAGCTCTCTGGCAATTTAAATTCACTCGTTTTTTCTGCCATGTTTAACTAGCGTGTTTGTTTCGTCAATTGGCGGTGAGTGCCGCCGGGAAGCACAGCACTTCACAGTGATATCGTGTCAGTTGCAATGCAAATTATTGCACTTAAAATCACTGGAAAAAATTGAGTGAAAATACACAGAGAGCCGGGAGGGAAAAAATCACTTCACTGCGGAGTGACTGACAGCGACTTACGCATCGCTAAATATTAAAGTGGCAATGAATACAGATTGTCTCGTCAAAAGCCCCGCAATCCCACTTCGTTTGTGGCGACCGCAGGACAATGAAACGGAGGAAAGGACATGTGTACTCGCACAGGACTCGAAATCGCTGAAGGGATTCACTTGAAGAATGGTGAAATCGAGTGGGCATTTAAGGGGGATAACTCTGATGCCCCAAAGCAATGTGAAGTGAAGTGAAGGCCAGGGCTAAACTTTCGACCTAAGTGATTCTTAGCCAGTTAATTGGATCAACTATGTTTGTTCAGCTTCCCCATTCGACTTTCCCAACCAGAATATGGAAATTTATGGGGCTAAAACTCGAACGTAAGTGGGCGAAAAGTTTTTCCCAGCCAGCAGCTGTTTCCCTCTGCAGAAAGTTGGCCCCAACTTCAAGTTCAATGACTACGGCCTGTTAGTTGGGGGCGCTTTAATAAGCTGCCCAATTAGGCGAGTCCATCTCGAGTCCACTAATCTTAAAATTCCACTCGAATGCTTATACAATTCAAACGCTTTCGTGTCGAGAGGCATTTCGCTTCGAGTGGCCAGGCGGCCTTCAAAAAGCTTAGACCAAGGCCAAATCAAATATTTGACAGCCAACCGTGGGGGCAAAGTGCAAATAGGAAGAGCTGTCGAAAAAATTGACATCCTTGGAGCCTTCTTTTCCCGGAAAATATTAAACGAAAAACCATTATTCCCGTCGACGAAAAAAATACGAATTCAATTGATGAAATTAATGAAAATTTTATTTTCCTTTATAAATTGTTGTTCTGTTAATGGCAGAGCCTCGCGAATTCCTGGTTCAATTACATAAATGATTTTTATGGAATTTTATGGATTTGTTGTTCGGCTGCTACGGAAATCTGACCCCAAACAGACCTTAATGACGTTTTAATTTGTTTGTTGGTAAATACTTATGAATATTTATTTAAGGGATGTAAGAAAATTATACCCCACTTATTTTATAAATATTGGCAATGTTGTATTTATTTATTTAAGTATCAAACTATTTTTAGGTACTGCAGTAGCTCTAAATTCTGTAATCTTAAGCGATAAACCTCCCCCGACTGCACCTACTCACTCGGATCGACCGACTTCATTTGGAAATCAAGAGCTCAGCGGTTAAGCAGCTTACGAGGTGGCCAAAGCCAAAGCCTTATGACCAAGGTGCTGGCCATCAGATCGAATGGCCGCAACGACAATTACATCGGCGAATGGCCCGGTAAATATCCGGAACACAATGAGATGGAACCGTGGATGGAACCGTGTCAAGAGCTAATAAGCAGCCTCTTTCCGATTGCTTTTCGTTTCGTTTCGAGCTGAAAGGCCTGGATTCTGGAAAGTTCATTAAGCCGGTGTAAGTTAATTAAAACGCAAACAGGCAAATGGCAAATGATCAAAGTGCCAAAGACAGCGGTCCCAAAGGGGCAAGTGTGGTGTGTGTGGTGGGAACAGAAACTATGTGGGTGGGTATGTGCTATAATGGCAAATCACTTTGCACCGCAAACAGAGTCCACTGAACTGGCATTTGAAGCCTTCTCCACCCGGGATACGGGCATACAAGCCATGGCACATCCACTTGCCATGTTAACTGCAACATGTGTCAACTGGTTTTGCGGCTTGCAAAAGGGTGGGGAGTTGCGGTCTCGGTTACCATATACCCATATACCATTGTAACGGACAGGATAACTTAGGGGTGGTTGGGGTGCTTCCCACACACACACCTCGTTGACTACGCCAGCCGAAATTTATTGAAGCACATCAATTCGAATCCTCGCTAACTCCGCCGTCGAAATTCACTGGGCGCGACTGCAAAAGGCCCCAAACATCGCGTTAATGTCAGGAACAGGCCAAAAGTCCGGCTATCAGTTAGATGATAATTGCATACACACTTCATCACTTCTTCAAAACGAAGCTTTTTTGGAAATGAATGGATAGCCAATAATAAAATGATAGTTCTGCTATATTTATATAAAAGCTTCCTATAAAACTTGTATCTTTTAAATATCAGAATAGTTTGGTGGTTGATAATGAAAATATTTTGAAGGAAATTATTTTTAGAAACTTTCGAAAGCCAAGTAAATTCTGTTTATGATTTTTGTTATAATTAAATTTCATTTCGTTCTGGAATTTGGCCTGATTATGTCTTTTATCAACCACAAGGCCTTCCTGATCATAACTTATCCTCAACGGAAGTCCATTTTCAAGGCAATTAAGAAACAAAACCATGCAAATTTAGTTTTCGGCGAAAGTTTATACACTTCCCCTGTGAGCACCAAGTACACCTTTTGTATGGCACCGTTTTCGGTCGCCCACAATTGTTGACTCTTGCATAAATTATAATTATTAAGTGCAGCAGCCACGCCAGCAAGAAAACCCAATTTATTATGCTTTGTTTTCCTTGTTTGCGGGCGCCTGTATTTCTTGTTAGTTTTTTGTATTTTTGGCCTGTCGTCAAGTGCACCTAAAAAGCCATTTTAGTGAACAATTTTACGGCCCCCAAAGTGAGCTACATTTTGCTCTCGCAGCAATGCGTGCTCTAAAACACAAGTAGAACAAATGAAACAGGTAAATTTGACCTTTCGAAAAACATTAAACAACTTTTTCATTTAAATTGTACATAAGTTTGTTCTGTAGTATAAGAATATTCAGTACAAATGTTAATATATGTCTGGTACCCACATCTTTAAAGATTTCTAAGAAGTAAAAAATCCAATTTTGTTGTGTTTATTTATACCTATCGAAGTACAAATCGGACCATTTAATAAAAAATTTGCACAAAATAAAAAAATCAAAGCAGTGAAAGCAGTCGCTTTGCGGCATGCATATCTCCGTCTCCCTCGTCTTCCCTTAGCTAAGTAACGGGTATCTGATAGTCATGGCACCGGACTATATCGTTCTGCTTGTTGTTGTTATCTTGATGTATGGGCAACGCATTTTGCCACCACGCAAAAATCGCGGAAATAATTATTTATGACAACCTAAATAACTTAAAAACATTATAGCTTTTTTACACCAAGCAAAAACACGGAAATAATTACATATGACAGCGAACATAACTTTAAAACATTATATATTTCTTTTAGATAAGTAGTTCGTGTTATGTAACGATTGACCGCTTTCAGAAAATTACTATAAAAGATGGAGTCACTTTTAAGTGTGCATACCAAAACCAAAAGTCTAAACAAGTTCAATATGTTTACAAAGAGTTTGGTTATTCTGCTTGCAGCTGGCCTTCTGTCTGCAGGAAGGGTTCCTCATCCAGTTGACGAAAGGATCGCTTGCGGTTTTCCCGCGCCGATTGAAAAAAATCGCTGGCAAGTTGGTCTGAACATTACGCAATCCAAAGGTTGCGGCGGAGTCATCTACAAGGAAAACATAGTTCTGACAGTGGCACACTGTGTTCGAGGACGTAATGCCAGTGACATTTCTGTGTCTTTCGGATCCTCGACATGGGGAGGAGATAACCAAAGAGTTGTGGATAAAGTTAAAGTTCACGAAGATTATTCTCCGGAAACAAACTACGGAAGTAATGCCAATGATATTGCTCTGCTCCTTTTGCGTACGCCCATTCCTTTGGGAGAAAAGGCTTATCCCATTGAGATAGCGAAGGAAGCACCGAAACCAGGACAATGGGCACAGATCACTGGTTGGGGTAACACACAGGAAGGTGCCACCGATCCTGGCACTGCAACCCTGCAGGGAGCCTACGTCCAGATAGAAGACAACGCCCGTTGCCAGATTGCCTACAGTGAAAGCCAACCGTCTTGTAACACTCACAATGTAGAAATTACTGAGGATATGATTTGTGCCAATGGATTGGGCAAAGGACCTTGCGGCGGTGACTCCGGTGGACCTTTGGTCAGTATTCCCGGCAACCAGCTAATTGGCCTCTCGTCATGGAATTCCTTCTGTGGTCATCCCTTGATCCCCGATGTCTACGCCAATGTGGTTGTGCTCAGGAATTGGATCGAGGCCGCAGCCTATTCTATCATTAACCCGCTTTTGATCAGTGTTCCCGAAAACTCGCCTGTAGTCAGTGTTCCCGACACTCAGCTGCAAAATTAATTGCTTTAAAAGTTGAAGTTTTCAACGTTTTCAACTTGTAAAGTTGAATTATTCAACTTGTTTACCTTTAAAATAAAGTACAGAATTGCATTAATCGATTTTCTTTTATATTTCAAACGACTTTATAATGTGTGTGGCACCCAAGATTTCGGAAAACTATAAATGCAATTTTGTTGTATTAATACCTTTCGAAATGTAGAAGAAACTTTTTAAATCGGACCATCCGTTAAAGAGTTATGCCCGATCAAAGTTTTAAATCTCCATCTCACTCACACTCCCTTTAGAGAAACGGGTATCTGATAGTCGGGGCCCCCGACTATAGCATTCTTTCTTCTTTTATTTTCTAAGTTCTGAACTGGAATCAGCTTGTAAGATTTTACAACACTTAATTATTAATAATAATTTATTATTAATTATTAAAAAACGTATTTCTGAATTCAACACATTTAAAAAAAAACTTATTAAGTTCATTAACAAAAAACGGGCTATAAAATCCAATTTACCTCAAACAAGAAATCATTCCAACACAAAGACCGAAAGCGAAAACTTCCCTCTCAAAATGTCCGTATTACTCTTTCCAAGGGAAATTTGGTGAGTTTGCGTTTAGCCGGAAAAACTCTCTTTTATTGCTAGTGTGCCTGCGAAAGCCTGTGTATGTGTGCGCTGTGCGCGAATCTTTTTGCCGGTTTGTTTATCTTACATTTCAAGCATTATGGCGAGGTTTTTTTATGCGCTTCTTTAGCCGGCATTTATAGCCCATTCAAAAGAGAAACAAAAGTGCGTGCATATGTGTGTGTGATTTGAGCTGCCAATTGATTGTTTTTGTATAAATTTGAGTGGTCGTTTTTATATGTGTGAGTGGGACCCTCGAAAGCAGACTACAAATATTTACAAGAGCTTTCATTTGTCTGATTGATTTATTTAAATATTTATGTACTTCTATTTTTGCAAAAGGAACTGGCGAGAGTGGGTTTATATGTAGAGAATGATTTTGGGGGTATTGATAACTTGCGAAAAAAATTACTCTAGCATTTTGTAATTTAGTGAGCCAAACTAAAATGAGAATATTTTTATAAAACATAATTAATGTAAATAGCATATAACAAAATAAAATATTCTAGAACAACAATTTTTTTAAAATAAATATACAGTAATGCGTTTTTTACAAAAAAAATTACAAATAAATTTTAGGCAATGCTTCTGCAATTAATGTTCAACTTTATTGACAATAATTTACACTAACGACTTGTCCATTTGGTGAGCCATAATTCAATTTATGGCCCGCTGGCAACCTCATAACCCACTTTAGAGCCGGGCCGAGATACACTTGGACAGCAAATATAAATATAAATCAACATGCTGCAGAGAACCAAGTCCAAATGGCGTGGGTGGAGTGTTGGGCAGGTGGAAAAATGGAAAGTGCAAAGTGGACGGAGACCGAGTGACCGGGGCAATGGTCAGCGATAATATCTGGAAACTTTGCCCCCCGATGTGAGGCTAAAAGAGCCGGAGAATGTGGAACAAATGGTCGGGTGGTGTGGTGCAGCCATAGAAGTGGCTCAATGAGACCCACTTGAACCAAAGCCCCAAAGATATTTAGTTATTTAGAAAACCGCAGAGTGCAAAAAGCCCGCCGAATGTGCCAATTTCCCACTCCCCACCTGCGATGAAAACAATTAAAAATTCGTGTCAAAATACGAACGCGAAGAGGTGGCAAGTATTTTAAATGCATTTCAAGGTTTTTCTGCGCCACACGCAATGTGGCACAGCGATTGCATGTGGCATGTACACCACCAATCCCAATACCATTTAGTGCAAATTAATTTTAAATTACACATTCCCCGTGGTTTGGCCATCCATCAGCGAGTCCCGGCCGCCTTTAATTAATTGCATTTGCTCCACCTTCAAAACGTTTTTTCACCCCGCCTACCTTAATTATAATTTATAATTTACCGTTAAAAATTAAGCGCACTTTTGGCGGCAGCCAACTGTCCTGGGGTCAAACTACAACTACAGACAACAAACAAGCTGGAAAACAACATTACGTATACGCCATGTATTTTTAAACTCTGGCAGCCGGAGGGCAAGCGAAGTAAAAACAAGTCGAAACTCTGCAAGAAATATAATACAATTTATGCCTTCAATTACTCAGAAATTAAAATGATGAATTGCTTTTTATTTGCAATTTGTAATATTATTATTTAAACCAAATAAGTTAGTCCACTTTGTTGACTTCTTCGTATGTTTGCATTTAACATGTATTTTTCATTGGCTCTTAAATAAAATTTAATTTAATTTCGCTCAAAGGATAACGAGCCTTTGACTTGTCTGCCCACCTCATTCCATTTAACTTCCGATTGCCTGGCATTTTTGAGCTGGTTCTTTGCAATTTTGCGGCACTTGGCTTGTCGGTTTATTGACACGCCCCGCACACGTCAATCATTGAATGACAGACAGCCAAACACTTGACTTGGAGAGCAGATTGACAGACGATGTTGTGCTGCATCCTTCAGGTTTTTGAGCCAGACATGCAGCTCAAGTGCAACTTTGCCCCCCCGCCCATCGTTTTTCTGACGTTTCTTGTCTACGAATATTTTGTATTCAATCCAAACATTTGTCAAGCCATTCAGCCAGATATGCGATGTCGATGCCTGCCAGTGATTTTCGATTTGCAAAATTGATTCCATTTTGTTGTTGCCAGAGGGTAAGTGCATTTGTTGCCGTCTTTTTGTTTGCACATAATTCATTGCGAATGCATGGCAAATGACCTATGAAAAGCTCAACGTAATTATTCGGCACTCTATAATTAAAGTCATCCGTAATTTAAATGGCAGACAATGTGGCTCATTATGACAAATAAAAAAGAGAGGAATATAGAATCAAATAAAAACACCTCTTAACGAGGTAAAAAACTAGTGACGATCGCACCTTCAACATACAAAAGTTCTGATATCAACATTTGTGACGAAAAATTATTACACTCGTCATTAAATAGACTTTCTAATATTTTTTTATTCGGCCCGCCCTAGCAGACTATTCCAGCCTTTTTCCCTTCACAGGCATTATCTATTGCAGCGTGCCGAATAAAAAAATATTAGAAAGTCTATTTAATGACGAGTGTAATAATTTTTCGTCACAAATGTTGATATCAGAACTTTTGTATGTTGAAGGTGCGATCGTCACTAGTTTTTTACCTCGTTAAGAGGTGTTTTTATTTGATATCAGAAGTTTTTGTTTGTTTACATTTGCTCTCATAGGAGCTAATATATACATTTAAATTTAAATTGGTCAATCATAATTTGTAAGCCATTGTATTTAAACAAATTAAGTTAAAAAGGCGTTTAAGTATTTCAAAATACCTTTTAAACGAGGTATAGCACATGTCGGTACCTTTAGTAGTGTAGAACTTACAAACTAACGAAATTTAGCTATTTTTAGCTTTTTCCCGCTAAAGTAGCGGCTTTTTCCAAAAGTCGTAGAACAAAAGATTCCTATATGGAAGTCTTAAGTGCAAATTTACTGATTCCATGACCCTAAAATACAGTTCGGATACCCTCCCACAAAATTCAATACTCAGGGAGCGTTAATTGTTCGAGCTGGCAACAGTGGCTATTTTCGTATAAAAATAACTTTTAAATGTGACTTTTTACAGTAATGTGTTATATACCAAAATTTAAGGAATCTCAAGGGCTACACAGTTTAAGGTTTTAAAGAAAATCGTTAGAGCCGTTTTTGAGAAAAATAAAAAAAGCTAAAAAAAAAGGTTTAAAAAATTGTCTTTTGTTCATATTTTTTTAACTATTACATTTACACAAATTGCATATAGAAGGCGTTTATAGCATTTCAAAATACCTTTCAAACGAGATGCAGCACAAGTCTGTAGCTTTAGTAGTATAGAAGTTACGGCTTTCCAAATTTTAGCTATTTATAGCTGTTTTCCCGCTAAACTAGCGAGTTTTTCCAAAAGTGGTAGAAGAAAAGTTTTTTATATCGATGTGATGAACGTCATATCAAATTTTCAAAACTTAAAAAATCATTTGATTTTATTTCAAATCATTTGAATTGATTTGATTTGATTTGAATCATGATTTGATTGATTTGATTTGATTTGAATCATGATTTGAAATCAAATGAATCATGATTTGAAATCAAATGATTTGAAATCAAATCAATTCAAATCAAATCAAATCAATGATTCAATGATTTCAAATCATGATTCAAATCAAATCAATTCAATGATTTCAAATCATGATTCAAATCAAATCAAATTTGATTTTATTTCAAATCATTTGAATTGATTTGATTTGATTTGAATCATGATTTGAAATCAAATGAATCATGATTTGAAATCAAATGATTTGAAATCAAATCAATGATTCAATGATTTCAAATCATAATTCAAATCAAATCAAATTTGATTTCAAATCATGATTCAAATTAATTTCAAATTTCATATCATGATTCAAATAAAATCAAATTCAAATCATGATTCAAATCAATTGAATTTGATTTGAATTGATTTAATTTCAAATCATTTGATTGATTTGAATCATGATTCAAATCATTTGATTTTATTTCAAATCATTTGAATTTGATTTGAATCATGATTTGAAATCAAATGAATCAATCAAATGATTTGATTTCAAATTTGATTTCAAATCATGATTCAAATCAATTGAATTGATTTGATTTGAATTGATTTGATTTCAAAGCATTTGATTGATTTGAATCATGATTCAAATCATTTGATTTTATTTCAAATCATTTGAATTTGATTTGAATCATGATTTGAAATCAAATGAATCAATCAAATCATGATTCATTTGATTTCAAATCATGATTTAAATCAAATTCAATTGATTTGAATCATGATTTGAAATCAAATTTGATTTGATTTGAATCATGATTTGAAATCATTGAATCATTGATTTGATTTGATTTGATTTGATTTAAAATCATTTGATTTCAAATCATGATTCAAATCAAATCAAATCATTTGA